ATTTGGATAGAAATTTCTTTATTTTATATTTGTTTGTCATATTTTATATTAAATTATTTTATGTTTTATTTATTTCTTTTTATTCGTTATTTTTGTTAAATTATAATTAATAGATTTTTTCTCTGCTAAATTTAAAAATAAAATTTAAAACTTAAAAATAAGCGAGGGTCGTCTAAGCCACTTGCATTTTTTTATGCCACGTAGCCGTATCGGATTTCGACGCAGATCGATGTATTCATATCGCACGGCAATCGCAGCGCTAAGATGATCAGATTTTGTGATTTGCAATACTTTCTAATTTTTCTCATAAGATGAACAATTTTATTATTTTAATATTATTTTAATTTTAGTAAAGGTACAATTCGCTCCTTTAAAATCTTTCATTTTAATATGTTCTTTTGGCTATTTACCGTTGAGCGAATAAGGTCGCCGCGGAAGTTTATTTATTTATTGAAAACCAGCAAAGCATGGCGCAAACGCCATGTGCTTGTATTAATAACAACAGTTAAAATAACAAATAATAAGAATTAATGACAAAAAAATAATAATATTAAAATAAAATTAAAAATTTAAAGATGAAATAAAAAGGATATTGCAAAATAATATGAAATAGTACAATTCGAAATAACAGAGAATCCAGGTTATATTGTAGAAGTTTTCTTTTATAATTAAAATTAAAATTGCAATTAGGAGAGAGGCGCTGTATAAAATATTTTTGGAGACCTTCAATTATTTTACTTGATTTACCATATCTCGGGGAGTAACATGTAGCATTGTAGTCAAGAAGTGGCCGAATGAACGCTTTGTATCTTATTTTGATAAGGAAATCTTCAGTTTTGTTCTTAAACGAACGAAAAATACGAAAAATAAAATTTAGGATTTTTGAGGATTTCTTTACTATGGTTTTGCACTGATGGTCGAAATCGAGATTTTCATCCACGATTATACCAAGGTCGGAAATGTGCGAGACTCTACTGATTATATTGAATTAATAATAAGGTTAGGAAAATCGAAACCTTTAGAATTAATATGAAGAACTAAATTTTTGAAAGCAAAGGGTAATTTGGGTAAAGGGTAATTTGCCTGTCATATAGCCAGCTGATAGGAATATAACTGAGTCACCAACAGGTTTCCTCTCGTTATTAGCTTAGTGGAAATAGGATTTTCTTGCTTCACTGCTTGTCGCATTCGGCAATATGTGCCATGGAGTCTCTTGAATTACAGGTGAGTCACCACCCGGATTTTTTACAGGTTTACTCCCGTGGGGAATCGAACCTCAGCATCGGCGCTCGCAATTGAGCAACAACCCACCGAGCCATCCTATCCCCAGTGGATGTAGCATATCATTCGATGAACCAAATGTCGAATTTTTCCCGCATAGCTTTTAATTATTATTCTTATATCCTTTAATTATTATCTAATATTTATTACCGTAAATATTTAGCAATATATAATAATTTTTTTAGTGATTTTTCAACCAGTTTAAACGATCTTTTAAAAAATTTTATTGAATATTCAATGAATAATATTTTATCTAGAGATTTACATAATAATTATTATAGCGTAATTATCCTTATTCTTTTCTCTTTTTTTTTTTAAATTATATTTTTCAGAAATAAAAATTTTTTTCCCATTATTCGTCAACAAATTATCTTAACTTATTCAATGGATTTTTCAGCAATTATCAAAAAAAAATTTGTGTTTGCACTAAATTTTTTATCCACTCAACTAATTTCTTCAAATATATATTTTACTGCATGAATAAAGAATAATATGTGGTAAATGCTTGGTGCTCTATAGCTGTATAGCTGTACAGTTCGTTTCAAGTATAATTGTTAAAATCGATTTATTACTAATTTGTGGTCATACTTTATAAGATTATAATATATTCTTTTTGAATAAAGTTAATTGTTAATTATTGTGGTTGTAAGCCTTTCAACATTAGTATGATTTGGATTGGAATGAATTTCGATGTCCTGGACAAATTGAATATTTTCAAATTTCTTAATGATGCTTTGGCGTAAATTCTTCGATAGCAGTAAGCGGTCGGTTGTCGGTTCATCCAACTGCTCTACCAAGATTTAGAAATAATTATGATTATTATTATTGGATATATTGATTATGGATTATTTGTTTGGACATAGCAAAAGATGTTTTTTTTTCTTTTAATTTGATTTTTTAATAATAATATAATATAATATTATAATATAAAATAATATAACATTATATCTGTCTTCGAGAGGAGCAACCCTGTCATGTCAAAAATCCACGTGGCTGCCCAAAAATCACTTGTAACCTATCCTTCTTCTTCTTAAGAGTCCTCACCATTACTGGTTAAACTCGCTCCACTGACTTGTTGCACTGGGCAATATGTCAGGTAGTCCCTTGGCAATAGAGACACAGGTGAGTCGCCAGCATCACTCGGATTTTTTATTCCTGCGGGGAATCGAACCTCAGCATCGGCTGCTCCAAATTGAGCAACAAGTCACTGAGCCATCCTATCCCCCATGTAACTTATCCCCAAGTGATTCTATGGTGAAAGCGTCAGATATTCTTGAAACGGCGTCTTCCAAGATGCATGATGCTCCCAGCCCGATGGGATACAATTTGGGCATAAAATAGTCCCAAGGATCATAAGTAAAATGCGCTCAAGTCAGGACAATTGCTGGAAACCTTTGAAAGGAAACGGCTCTCTGCGCGCGTGCGATGTATTAGCCGTATCAGCATGGGATATCAGAACGCTTACAAACCAAGCGGTCACATCTTTTCTAAATATCGTGTGGATGTCATCAGCTTGTCGGAAATCCTCTTCCTCGGAACTCGCTTTTGGTCTGAAATAATTACTAATCCTTGCTTCAAATAGACGTATTGGCCATATATATCATTGTGGTGATGCGAAAAATTTGGGCCGAAATTACCATGTCTAAAAAATCATAGCCCATGGCCCACTCCACTTTGATTGAATGGAAACCGGTAAACGACAGTTGATCTATGCCCGCTTTAAAGGTAAGCAATATCTCGGTCAACAATGTCAATACTCCAGTTCTGCTCTTTCGGTAGATATTCTGGATAAAGAGAAAAGAGAAAGAGAAGAGAAGAGAACACGGAAAAACTTTATTAACAACTGAAGTATCAATTGTTAATAAAATCTTTACCCAAACATGATATAATCATAATCGGGAGAGATCGGAATGAATTCAGTAATTGGCAAATATAGCATCGGAGATTGCGCTAATGAGAATGCTTTCGTTATGCCGAAGAGCATGAACTTTTTGTTACTAATACTTGCTTCCGGCATCGTAGAAAACATCTAGACATCTAGACACGTCGAACTCCTCGGATAACCAACATTTCAATCATATTAATTATATTAGTTAGTCGCCATTGGAAAAGCACTTGATACTCGTTCCGATCACGCCACCAAAAAGCGAAATTTTCATGGATTTGACCATATTATGGTCCTAGCAAGTTCCGCATAAAATTAACTACTTACAAAAATAGCATCCCCAAGATCCTTCAGTTATCTCAAACTAAAAAATTCGGAGAACATTATTATCAAACCGAATTATTGAAGCATCTCTATGTTGTAGATATCAGTAATTTTTCTGGAACGGCAAATGATTATCTGATCCAGCCAAAAGAATATATCCGAAAATTAGCCACTTTCACGCTAGGGCTAGAGTGTAATAGGAAGTGCGCTAGTTGATATCGGAAGCAATGTCCAATTGTCTGAAACATTATCAAAACATGAAACGTCAGGAGATCCTGACGTTTGAAAATTTGCAATGAAATTGCCAGACAATAACTATTGGAGTGAAATGGCCTTGAAAATGGAGACGGCGGCTCGATTAGGTGATAATAGGAAACTTCCGCCTTTTTAATTAAACAATTATAACTATAACTCGCAGAGCGATCAGCGAAATGCAATGACGAGACGGTTAAGAATATTAAGGGGTGCCTCATAAGATGGAAAGAATTTTTTGAGGCAAAACTTAACGACGATGCGCCATCTGTTATCCCGGATGCTGATTCGCTCGTCGAGCCATATGTTTGCAGCTGAGAATCGCCAGCAGAAAAGGAAAAGGAAATAATCCGTAAGCTTAAAGCCAATAAGACATCGGGAGAAGATGCTCTTCGGGCTGAACTCTTCAAATGTTGTCCATCGTCTTTTATACCGCACCATTAACAAATATGCTTTTTGATATGGAAGAAAAAAGTATCCATGAAGCAAAATAATTCTGCTCCCAATTCCCTAAAGAGGTGATAGGACATTTTATGATAATTATCGAAGAATTATTCCACTAAACGTCTTCAAAAATTTGCTTCCCTTTCCCTTCCCTTTTACTCAATAAACCTATGGAACTATGGAACAAGCCTCCTAATCAAGCTCGGTTCAGACCGGAGTGTGGTTGTGCTGACCAGATATTTATGTTAAGTAAAATTATAACTTCAAATATTTACAACCCACTCACCGTATTTTATCGACTTCGCGGTTTCTTCGATTCAAATGATAGAGCGGAACGTTGGAGAATGATGCAATGCAACGGTGTTCCAGAGATCATTCGACTCATAAAGGCATTTTATGAGTGTACGTCTCGCAGATATGGAGAATTAACTTCTGTGAAATAAGAAATAATGTTCGCATTTTTTTCCCTACAATATTCAATTATGCGATAGATTGGATAATGGACACCGCCTGTCGACATTCAAAAGGTATCCAAATTTGTCCAGAGCATCGTATCATAGATCTTGAATACATTGATGTAGTCCTTTTTGCTAACAGTTATGACGAAATGCAAATAATCCTAAACAACGTATCAGCAACCGCGGTGAAAATCGAACTCATAGTCAATGTAAATAGAACGAAAGCCTTTTCGTCTTATGTGCAAGAAGCTAATAAAATGTCTCTTTTCATAAGCTCATTGTCGGTTGAGGAAGCACTCGATTTTAAATACCTTGGACCACTCTGATACCGAATGGCCAGGCAAAAGGTGATATTACAACTCGGTTTACGGTAGCTAAAAATTCTTCCGATTGATGAGATTTTTATGGAGCCATCTTGAAATCACCATAAAAATGCGCGAAAATGCGCGTCTATGTATGTACGTCTATGTATGTTCATTCAATCTTGCTATGTGGCTGCGAGATATGGCAAATGAGAGTGGAAGATATTAAGAAATTATCTGCCTTTGACCACTTTTGTCTAAAGTGCATTTTATGGGTCCGTCGAGCGGATAAAATATCACATGATTGCATTCATCTTCGTTCAAATGCCACATACCACTTGCATTAATAATATTATAAATAATAATTATTATAGAGCGTCGCATTCGATGGTTAAGGTACGTTCTCCGTCATCCATCACGAGTTGATGCATATTTCGTTACTTGCCAAGCCGTATGATGGTTGGTTGGTCAAAAGCGAGATGAGCCAATCAAGACCTGGATTGACACGGTCAGAAAAGATTTTGAACGTATAGGTGGACCAGCAATATATGGACTTAGACTATGGAAAAAAAAATGGCTTCTATTATTTTCAACGATGGCGACAGACAGGGCCGTTTTGAAACATCTTACTCTCGTAGCCAGCATGATCAGCAATAATGAGAGTTATTAGAGAATGAAGAACTTTGACCCAGAGAAAAATGAAAACTTTACCAACTTTATGCTTCCATAGGATACACCAAACCTTATTGCGTAATACACCATATTTTCCAGGTTGCTCAAATAAAATTTCATTTTGAATAAAATTGAAAATTCTTCACAAAATTTTTAGCAGTTAGAAATTTCTTTATCGAATCATCGAAAAATTCTAAAACTTGAAAAATTTTAAATTTCAAAAATTTTTTCTATTGTTTTAAATTTTAAAAATTTCCTTGTTGGAGAAATTATATATGTTAAAAAAATATGGTAATTTTAAACATAAATATATTTATAAATATATTTATATTATAAATATATTTTAAACATATTTATATGAATGATATATATATGATTTATATATGAATGCACAAAATTTTATTTTATATTTTATTTTAATACATTCATTTTTTTTTCAACTATTTAATCTAATACATCGGAAAATCTTTGCAAGAATATAAATATTCTTATATGGATGTAAATATATATATATAATGCAGGAGTAAACTTGTACAAAAATCCGGGTGATACTGGCGACTCACCCGTATTTTTGTCGCCAAGGGACTCCTTGGCATATAGCCCAAATGCGACAAGCCAGTGAAGCAAGTTTAACCAATAATGGTGAGGATTTTTAAAAAAATATAATAATAAAAAAATATATATTTAAAATATTTCCATGAAAGAATTGGCGAATTATTTGCTTATCATTCATTTATTTATATTTAATATTTAATATATTAAATATTAGGTTAGGGGCTTAGCAGAAGGACATTTGTCTTTAATAAATTCGGATGATATGGACTCTCATTTGAGCACTTTATCTTAGGGAAGAGCCGGGTTATGCCTTATTTTAAGAAGCAGCATTCAGGGCCTTAGGCGTTAATTAAAATTTGCTAACGGTTGATTGATTAACGAATTTTTTTGCATTTATTGAATTTTAATTATTAATATTAATTTTAGTTATTAATAACGAAGGACTTCGAAATTCGGCATTTTTCTTTATTCATTGCAAATTTTTAATATTTAAATATTTTATAGGAATTTAAGCTTTTTCGCTATACCTAAAAACCACGTATATATTTTTGTGAAGTCCTCTCTCACCAATGTTTTTCTCTCTAAATGTGAAGTGAAGTGAAGTGGAAAATTCGTTCGGTTTGCTCTCCATTTGTCTTTTTTGAGAGCACTCGCTATTACTGATTAGATTCGTTCCACTGGCTTGTCGCTACAGACAAATATGCCAGAGAGTTCCATTGGCGATAGAAGCGCAGGTGAGTCGCCAGCATCGCCCGAAAAAAGTATCATTAGTTTTATCTATACTAATCCATAATTTTCATATATGAGTACCCTATTTAGATTATAGCTTCTAGTTATTGTTTCCTAGATTCCTAATAAATATTTTGAATAATAATAGTTATGCTTATCAATTGCCTATCAATAAATATTTTAAATAATAATTCAATAGGAAGTTTTACATTTCATTCATTTGTAGTGCTTATCAACAGCTTATCAATTATTAAAATAAATATTTTGAATAGTTAAACAAGAAGTTTTGTATAATTTTTTTTTTTCCATTCATTTGCAGTGTTTATCAATTATTGGAATATTTTTTAACGATAAAAATATTAATTTAGATTCTTATCAATTTTTCAATCGATTCGCTATTTTTCTTCTATTACTAATAATAATAATAACGATGCAATCAATCCGCTATTTTTCTTCTATTACTAATAATAATAATAACGATGCAATTTTTTTCTACAATTTTTGATTATCCTACTAGTTGTCCAATAACAAATTTTATCCTTGGAGTCCTTAGAAGTGCAAGTAAGTTTAGCAGCAGGCAGGATTTTTAAAAAAGATGTTTCAAATATATTCAAACAAACATGGTTTATTAATGAATGAATGGAAATCACTATGGTTTAACAAAAAATTTACACATTTTTATCGAATTTATCGATTTTAGATAAAATTTCATTGATTTATTAATATTATTAATAGTAATAACAATAGCAATATTAATATTAATAATAATAAAAATAATATTAATAATAATTTTAATAATAATAATAGTGCTAAAAATAATAATAATAATCAATAATAGCAATAATAACAATCAATAATAACAATATTAAAAATAATAATAATGATAGTAATAAATAATAATAATAAATAAATAAAATTAATATTAACAATAATAATAGGAATGATAATAGGAATTGCGGAATTCCAGTTCACTTAGCGATTCTTAATTTTCAAAGTAGAACGATGGAGCCCATTTGAAAAAAAATGCGTTAGGTTCAGATGAGATCCATGAGCTCGGTTAACCTCAAATTCGCTATTATCACATTGTTCGAAGAGATTGCTAATCCTAATAAAATACCATATAAGGATTATTTTAAGAGATTTAATAATAAAAATCTCACTAAATGCGATTATTTATTCATGAAATTATTTTTCATGTTCAGTACTAATTAAATATTATATTGATTATTATTTAGTGATTAACAGTCACTATTACTGGTTAGATTCGCTCAGCTGTCGTATCGCACTAGGCAAATATGCCAGGAAGATCCTTGGCGATAGAAATACGGCTGAACTGATTTTTGGACGGGTTCTTGCAGGGAGTAGAACCTCAGCGTCGGCGCTTCCAATTGAGCAACATACTGCTAAGCCATTCTTTGCCCTAGCACTCACCATTAGGCCTTATAGATTGGATATACTACGGAAGATGCACTTTTGCTCGGATGTTACTTGGTAAATATAGGTTAATCTTCAAAATTATTTGGATTTTTAAAATGTGGAATTCGCTTGGCTTAGTCCTTATTCTTGGCCAGGATAAATAATCGAACCAATATGCCAGAAAATTTAATCTATTTAATGTAAAATTATTATTCCACTTTTACATGAATGAATATATAAAGTTTCTTTTTCAATTCGAATTCGACGATTTAAAGAAATTTCGGGAATTTTTCTTGGGAAAAAAGATACACTAAAAAAATTTGATTCATTTTAATTATTTTATATTTTTTTATTTCCTATAAAATCCTATAAAATTCTTATAAATGCCTCATATCCTAATTCCTATAAGAAAAATTTATTTCATGCAGTTTTTTCTCCAAAAATATCGCTTTAATTCGCTCAATGCTTGAAGACGCATTAATAAAATGCATGATAAATAAAAGTCTGTGGTGGGTTAAAATCGATATATTTTCGCCAGAAGCAAAAATTCGATTTATTTTATTTTTGCCTATAAAAATTTAGCTTAAAATCTTGGCAGATTACTAATTTTTTCATTTAAAAATTTCATATTATTAAGACTGAAAATTTTTATTTATTTTCTCCTATATGCGTTTAGTGCCTTCTTTAAAATTGTTTTCTTTAAAAATCCTCTTTTTTTTCACAAAATTAAGAAAAGCTTAAAAATTTGGATCCAGTGGAATATGGGTTTTAAGGTGTCAAAACCGATGGTGAATCGATGATACTCAATTTCTCTCTCTCTCTTTCTTTCGAATTTTAAAGTCATCTACGGGTGCAGTGCTCCTTAAAATTATTCTAAAAACCACGTGTATTTTTATTTTTTTTTTTTGACGCGTTTTTTTTGGGATATATTAAAGACTTATGAAAATCCAATAATATTAAAAATAACCTTAAATAAATAGCTACAAACGATTTAGGAGATAAATTCATAAAGGATTATCCATTGGAAAATTCTTATATCATTTGCCATTTTCCTATTTTTTCTCATTTCGTTTATTATTTTTCGATTAACTCATTTCCTTAACAAATCCTATCCTATCTTAATGCTTAAGTAGAATAGAATCCTCCTAGGAAAAAATTGGAAATTCAAATCCTCGATTAATTATGAGTTTGTGGTACTTCAAAATTTAGGTTTAAAAGTACCTTTTTGTGCCAAATAATCGAAAACTTTTTTGTTGTCTTCTCGATATTATATTTTTTCTATTACAGAATTTTACCGCATTCGATATATTAGAACCTATTCATACCGTTTAAATTATTGGCACACTTTTATTTTACCAGGAATTTATTAATTTAATTTATTTATATTTATTGTATCCATATAATTGTAATTGTATAATTTAATTGGCAAGTAATTTTAATATTTGATTTTATAAAGTGATAATTTTAAAGTGATAAAGTGATAATTTTTAGTCAATTTGAAGAAATTTTGATAAGGCTCTGTGCACTTGGCTTATTGCACTAATCGAATTTTACCAGAGAGTAATTTGGCAATAGAAGAGCTACCAGAGATGGGTCACCAGCGTAAATGAAATTTTTGAGAAATAAGTCCACTTCTGCAAGATGTGGAATGCACCTTGCACCTTGCACCTCGCTATAAGAGCAACAACAACTCATTCTACTGATAAAATATTTATTTGAATTTGTTCTGCCATAGAAAAAAAAAAACCAGTTAAGTTGACTATATAATTTGCCTTGTGGAATCTATTCCGATAATGAATTAGTTAATTTACTGTAAAATAATGAGAATGTAATGCCTTGATGAGCATGAAGATGCATGAATGCATATATATGAATAAAAAAATTTGTAGAAAAATTAAAAATATTTTTTTAAATTAATTGTGAAATCAGCTAGAATAAATCCATTTTTGCTATTTCCTCATCTTTATCCTTTTTTTTTTTTTTTTTTTTCAAAATTAATTTCCTATACGCTGAAATGGGAATGGGAAGTATAGGGCTTTCAATGGCGTCTATTAATCGAATGAGATATCGATATGAGTGAATGGCTCATTTTTGGAAGAAATTATTTGCAGTTCTTCGTCTTCCTCTATTAAAAAGAGCCATTTTCAATTTCGATAGTTCCATTGGCTATAAGAGCAATTCGTCTCTTGGGTTCGTCTACCGAATGCAAACTAATGCAATTAGTTAAAGCGACTTCTTTTCACATTGTCATATCGCTAGGCAAATTATACAAACTTTAATTATTTGTAAATACTAAAAATAATTTGTGCGATAAGAATGATAAATAAGTAATGATAAGAATGATAAATGATAATTAAAAATTTAGAAAAAAAAATGCTACGAATTTTCGAAACAGTTCAAGAATTATGCGAAGCATTAGAATTAACAACTGGTTCGGTTTATTTGCTTCCAATTCATTACTGTATTCGTCATGAAGTATTAAATATATTCCCTGAGGCAAAATGTGTTGTATTTGCTTATCCTGAGCAATCACCACGATTCTGGATGGTTATTCGACGCAATATGTATACAAGGTTAGTGAATCTTCTTCGTCTTCTAATAGTTCTCCATTATTGGTTAATTCAGATTGGCTGCATTCGCTATAAATGATTATAAAACAATTAATGAATTTTAAAATGAATGAATTTTCTCATACAATTTAAATTCTTAAATTTGTTTTTTATCAAATTTTTCGATTATTTTTTCAAAATAAATATAAAATATTTTAAAGAGTTAAAAAAAATAAAAAGAAAAAGTGAAAAATTCGTTAAATTAAGGGATTCATAAAAAAAAAAAAAACTAAGAAATTCATTATTTAATAAAAAAAATGGCAAAAAAAAATATAACTTCAAAAATGATTTATTGTTAAGAAAAAAAAGAAAGGCATTAAACTACTTCCATAAATCAATGTTTTATGTTTAGCCAATTGACAAAATGATTAAAATGAAATATTTGTTGAAATATTTCGATGAAAATAAAAAATGTCATAAAATTATTGGAAATTCTAGGCCACATGTATTCATGGCAACACGTTCGCAATTAATGATCACCGATCATGAAATCGACACATTCCTTATAAAAATTCGACCGTATCTACTGGAATTATCCGATTTCTATGCACGTATATTGGGTTTACGACTCAGCAAGTTCGCTACTTAATTTTAATTTTGCTAGAAATATTTTTCGAGATAAATTCAATTCAATAAATTTTCGAAAATAAAATATTTTTAAATTTATTTTGAATAAATTTTATTTTTAAATAATAATTACTTTAATAATAGTTATTTTATTGTTTTAAATTTTTTATTAAAAATTCAATTTTTTCAAAATCATTTATTTTCACATTTTTCATTTTTCATATTTTGGAAAATTTAAAAAGTAAAAAAAAAACAAGCTGGCATCAAAAATCTAAATTACTGAAAAAAACATTGCTAGCAATTCATGCGCTAAGACTAACGTTAAGACAAGCGCCTGAATTCACCTCCGGACTGCAATTGAAAAAAGGCATATTTTAGCATCGGTAGGAGAATATCTAGACGGATTGGTGCTGAGGATCAATGTGTGCCTTTAAACTGATTTCAACTGATTTCAACTGATTTTGCGGCGATAAGATTTCATTTTAGAGGAAAATGGAACTAGTTAAACATGCATTCTGTTAGATAATGAAGAAATAAGATCGATAAAAATTGAAAAAAAAGGCAACTTGTCATGATTTTTAAATAATAATATAGTAAAACTTCAGTCGTATGACATCGATTCTTGCTGGACAATTCGATTTTTCATCACAAAATTACCTTGCAAATTATTTTATCATTGAAGAATCTAAACAGAGGCAAATTGCAAAAATTGAAGTGGTTTTACCGGAGGGATATGAATTTGCCGATCTAGATCCTGAGGTGAGCAGCTGGACCATTTCGAAATATTCTGTTATATTAGGGATAGGAATTTTGTGAATTTTAATCCTAAGATAAACTTATGAATCCGCCGATTCAGATCCCAAAAACAAGAATAGAAAACCCACTAATTCAGATCATGGTGTAAGGACTGAAATTTATTGAATTTCGAGTTGTGGAAACGAATTCATTGACTAAGATTCTCTGAGATGGAAAGATATGAATTAGCTGATAAAATCCTGAGATGATAAGTGCAATTTGATGTATTTATGACACAACGAAACAAAAAGTCCATCCAAGGTAATTACATTTTAGTTTAAAATTTTTTCGGTTCCACTAATAAAATCATTTATATTCTTCTCAGGACTTTTATAAATTTATTTTAGAGAGATTCAGAATTCGTTACTGCTTGCTGGAAATTTTCAACGTCTGGTGATCGCGAACAGTTCGCTGCAAAAATTCGTCGTCTTCCATCAGTTGGTATCAAAGCAAATGATGGCAGTTGGGCATCTTTTACAGTTCTTGATGCTGCCGGATATTTCAATAACCAATATACTTATGAAAAGCATCGACAAAAAGGATTGGCGAATATGAGTGAAATTAAACTTTGCCAAAAGGTTTATTTCTAATATTTTTAATATTTTTTCTTTTGTACAGAAAAAAGGATTTATAGCACTACGAAATTTTTGTTGGGAAAAATTCCTTTTGGGAATCCGCTTCACTATCTTTTTCTCTATAGATTTAGCTTTTCTGCCACGCGGGACTTTTATTTCTTATTAATATTATAAAATTCTGCGGCCAGACTTCTACTTCTTACTTTTCTCGTTGCGAACCTCAAACTTGGGTAATTAAACCTTTACTAGTAAAGATGCAAATATATACAAGAAAATAAAGCGAAGTAATTGCCCTACTACAAAGAAATAATGAAAAATCAAAAATAAAATCTAAAAATCTAAATGCCCATCACTCACCGACCATTCCCTCACTCGTTTTCCCCTAATAAAAGCACAAAATGATCAAAATTGATCTTTTGGGAGCTTATATTTAATTTAAGATGAGCGGGAATCCGGATGATTTGCTCAAATTTACAGCTTTTTTCGCCTTTTGGCGACATCTTTTACTAATTTTTTTTTACTTATTTTTACTAGCCTTAAATCATCAAAAAAGTTAATTTTGTTAATTTTGTGGTATAATTTTCTTTTGGAGTGGTTGTTTCCATTTCGTAGCGCCGATATTTGGGTTACTAGGTTTCACAACAAAAGTGAAAACGTTTTTCAAAAATCCTAATGATTTTCGTCACTCATCTTTATTTCCACATTCGATTTGCTAGCAAAAAAGATTAGAAATGGAGATCTTTGAAAACAAAAAAGAGTCTGTCTTTAATTTTCCTCTAAAAAATATATTGGTGGTTCTAAAAAATGGCTGCACCTATTTTTTCCTCGGATCCATTTGGATTCTTTCAAACTATTAATTTCTGCGGTTATATATTTCATTTTTAGGTTCTTAATTTTGGTTTATGTCCACTAAAATTCGTTGAGCATGAAAATGTGATTGTATCAGCGCGATCAGCAAGATCGCCCTGGTGGTCAACAGTTGTCGATGAAGCTGGTATACCCGTCGTTCATGATCATAGGTTGGTCCGTCAACGATCCGAACTCCCCATTGAAGAATATTAAAAATAATTCGCTTCTACGATTTGTAAACGCATATTAATGAATATTTCAATATTTATTTTAAAATAAAAACAATAATATTTATAATATTTTTCGCTCATAAAATATTTATAAATATTTTAAAATAAAAATATTTTAAAATATTTCTTGTGATTTTATTGCTTGTGATTTTATTTTTGTTTGCTTCCAGATTTATTCCAAATGTGAATTTATTTTAAAAAAATCTTATTATTCGGGTAATTTTTTTTTAAAATTCATTATTATTACTATAATCCGAAATCAATTGATTTGTTAAAATCGAAAATTTCGAATTTGGGAAAAAAAATAATTTCAATATTTTCAATGAAATTCCCAATAAAAAATTCCATGAACTTATTTCAAAAGTAATTTCAATGTAAAACAATTTTCTTCGTAATTAATTTTTAAATTAAACACTCATTTTTATTGGGGAAATTCATCTGTAATTCATCTCTATTTTATAAATTTTTTAGCAAAATTTGTTTGATCCAAGAAAGATTAAGAAAAAATTAGTATTTTTTTAAAATTTAAATATAAATTTTTTTAAATAGATGAGATTACGATGATAATATAATATTGATAATTCTTTTAAAATATTTTTATAATATCTATTCTAAAAAGAAAATAAAATTTTTCATTTTTGCGTAAAATATGCTTAAAAAAATTAAGAAAAATAAAATTTTTAAAAAATTTTCGTTTGCACTTCATAAAAATAATATCCTATTAATTACCAAAATTTTTTAGTGAATAAAAACAATGTGTGGTTTTTAAAGACCCTTTTTTTCTTCAAACATTTTCTGAAAGATTTAGAGAGATTCTGATAAGGTGAAATGAGATTATTTCGCAGGCACGACTAAAGAATATTAGTGGATAATTGTGCAAATTTGGACTCCCATATATCCACGGCATCCATACATTAACCAGCAACAACCTCATAATCTTATGGTAACAGTCAAATGAAACGAATGTTATTGCCTTAATCTCATAAATGCATGGCGTCAACCTTATAGAGATAAGGTTATGAGATAATTCACAGAGATAAAATTAAAGCCTCAATCCCATTAATTCAGTGTGGCAAAGAGATAGCATGTACGGCATAAATCTTACATTTTTTAAATTTCAATCATGTAAATATTAAAGGTTATATAAAGGGTTATCACATATTTATACTAGCGCCTCGGTTCCATTACCCTAAGAATTAGCAGTTTCATGGCCTGGATTCTATGGCTTCATCATCATCTTCTTCTAACAGCTCTCACCATTACCGGTTAGGCTGGCTCCAATGGCGTCAAGGGTAAGACGCGATAAGACTTCCAAACGGTGCGGTGTGATGCCATAGTCGACAGTAATAAAAGCCATTCCTTTTTCCATCGTCTAAGTCCATATATTGCTGGTCTATACGTTCAAAATCTTTCCTGATCAGTTCAGGCCTTAAATGCCCACCTCGCTTTTGATGCCATCCATCACACGGTTTGCAAGTAACGAAATATGCAACAACTCTTGTGGTAGACGACGAAGAACGTGCCTTAACCACCGAAAGCGACGCTCTGTAATAACATTATTAATGCAAGTGGCAGAGAGAGTGTTTGAAAGAAGATGGATGCGATCATGCGATACTTTAACCCGTAAAATATACCTAAAGTGATCAAAGGGATAGATAGCTTCTTAATATTCTCCACTCTCATTGGCTAGGTCTCAGGTTATTGGCTATGGTTTCATGGTTTCCGTCTAATAATGATTCGGTTCTTCATCGTCCACCTTTGAATTGACGCCTATTTCATAATGTGTAAAATCTTGCAACGATTAAAAGGGAGCGAGCCCAACTAATATTTCGATCGAAACAGCCAGAAAAGATTTTGAACGGCAGCCGAGCGAATTGGGCTAAGATAAAGAAAAAAGAGAAAAGTCTTCAGACTCGGCACAGGACCAGGAGGTTTGGAAATATTTATCATAATTGCCAGAGGAGCAAATCAGCAATCAGCAATAATGCCAACTATTAGAGTGGAAATTTTTTAGGAAGAAGTTCCAAGATGGAATAACCAAATTTGAAGGACGCCATTTAATGGAAATTGAGAAGAATTTAACAAAATTCAGACAGATTTCGAGAAAATAGATGGGGTTTTTTCCGAGAAAATTGCCACACACATTTGAAAAAAGTTTTTGTCTTCAAACGAATGTATGAATTCTATTAATTTCGCTTTCCATTATTGCAATGATTTTTTTTAAATGAATTTTTTTTTTGGGGGGTTTGGGGAGGGGGTTGGAATTTGTTGGTTTGTGAGGAGGTGAAAGGGGAGGGGAAGGAGGATTTTGGTTCTTTTTTGAATTTAGTTCTAAGTTCTCATCGATTATGAATTTTTTTCTTTTCTTATTTTATATTTCTAATAAATTTTGTACATTATACATTATTATATTTTTATATTTTTATTATTACATGTAATAATAAATGAGTTAATTGTCTTATTAAAATATTTTAATTAATAATTTTTTAAATATAGATAAAGGAATGAATAAAAAAGTGAAATGGCTCAGAGGTTTGTTGCTATTATTTCGAATCGCCGAGATTGTGAAATTCTATTCACAGCGAAAACAAATCTTTATATTAAAAAAAATTCCGTATGGTGCCGACAATCCGTTTGTAGTTCTCTCACCAAATATCTCTTTAGCAGAAAGATCCGATAAGTTTGTTAAGCGAACTTTACAAAAAAATAGTGGACGCTTTTAGAAAAAAAAAAAGCTGATAGTACTATTTGAAACATTTTCATTGTTTTTTAGATGGATTATCATTTTCAACGAGTTATATAAAGAATTGTTTAGAATGCAAATATCTGGTTTATTTCCGGAGAGAATCGAAAGAGGATTAAAAATCGTGGCAATTTAGCAGTTTCCTTTCTTTACTTGTGAACCTCCCAATATATATTTTTCTGGCGACCTGGCGGCCTTGCTTTTCAAGCTAATTTAGCTTTCTCTTCCTTAATGTGGGTTCACATAGCGGATTTAAGCTTATTATTTGATAATCGACGCTCAGAGATTGTTTGTTGGAAATACGATGGATGTGGAAGTCATATGTTGCTTCAGTCGAGACGAGAGCTAAGAATATGAGTTCGCTTGTTATTTTGATAAATCATCATTGAAAGTGAAATCTAGATGTATATCGAAGGCCCACATGTACATATCTAATCGGCTGATCGGTCTGACAAAAATTTACATCCATCACATTCAGTGAATCCAACTGGTGTAATTCAGGAAATCGAGTGGAGTTGTTTGTTCTTAAGGTCTTATTGAATTCCACCTTTTTCTCGTATTTTTTTGTTTATTATTTGGCCCATAATTTCTCAGGGCCCATTTCGTTGTTTTTGGTTGATGTTTTTATATTAATATTTGTATTTTAATTCGTTTTTTTCAATTTTTATTCAGTTTTTCAGTTTTTTAATCAAAGATAAGCTCATTTTATTTCACGATAGGAACGCAAATGTTGGAGGAACGAATAAAAGAAGGATTTGGTCCGCTTATTGCTATACTTACATCAGATGCTGTTGAAACAATTATTGCAAAAAATAAATTAACTTTTGCCGAATTGCTTTTACCCTTTCGTATCATTAATTGCACATTGAAAGTAAGTAATTATTTGGTGTGATAAGTGACAAAATCTTTAATATGGTAAGGGAATCGTTTAATCGAGGATTAATGACTATATCTTTTCTTTTTTACAGCTACCTTTATCCAATTTTTCATTACGCATAGCGAATCATTATTAGTGGAAATTCCTTTAATTTTTTAATACTTTGGGCATTTACTTTGTTATTAACTGCTTTTGGGATTTCTTAAATATCTTGTTAAATGACTTATATTTTAGCCTTTCCTACAGCAATTCAATTTTCGCTTCACTGCTTTTTTTTTCGCTAAATCGTTTCATTTGTAAGACAAAGGATTAAAACCACTATTGTTTGCGAACAAATTTTATTTCAAGGATCCATCTGGTCAATCAACAACTTCTCGAATTCATTTTGATTTTCGAGATCTTCGTCGAGATGGTTTTCTGCTAAGTTTAACTGTATTGCCCTCTGTTCTTCATGAAGCTGTTTCGGCGGTAGCGTCTACTTCCGATACTGAGCTTGCTGCAACTGTCCTCTGGTAAATTTATCACTTATTTTAGCTTTATTTCTCTTTAATAAATAGCATTCACTGGAACTTGGCGAATTTGTATGAAGGAACCTAGAAATTTATTCTTTATATAAACGAACCTAGAAATTTATTTTTTATAATCCTGAAATAAAGAATGTAATAATATTGAAGTCCCATAAGTATTGTAAATAATTTAACAATTATTTACAATGCTTTGTAAATAATTGTTAAATTTCGACATAAATTCTATAAAAATAATAAGAAATCTAAGAAATAATGTATGGGTTGTTAAATTTATTTATTATTATAATTATTATTATTATATTTATTATTATATAATAATTATAATTATTATATTTATTATTATATTATTGTTAAATTATTTACAATATTGAAATAAAGCTTTATTTTTATATTCGCGAAGCAGTTCATCTTTGTTTGTTTTCTCTTTTAGGTGCCTTAGGATTGTTTATTTTCATATTCTCTTTTCTGGAATTCGTAAAGTTTTAAAGTTTTAACTTTTTTCTATTCGCCTATTTATGACAGTTTTTAATATCCAACATGTCATTTTTTTAAAAATTTCCATATACTTTAATTTTAATGTAAATATAAGTTATAATACTTATAATTATATTTAATGTTACTTTGCAGTGAATCATTATTGCATTGGGCTGAACCTACAGAATATGAATTTTTACATACATATCTAGCTTGTATGTTTGTAATTTCATCAAATGATTCTGACCCAATGAACGAATTGGCCAAATTAGTGCATATGCAACATTCACAACAGGTTCACCTTATTTTTAATGTTCGATTTTTGTATCAGTTGAAATTAAAAGAAAATTTCGTAAATTTTTTCATGCATCTATCTTTCTGAAGAGATTTCTATTTATTTAAAAATTCTTATTCTTATTTATTTTATATATAGAATCCATTGTTATAGAATCCATTTTTAAATAAGCGGATAACAATGAATTTTTGGTTAATTTTTGGTTAATTTGGTCAGATAAATCGCTCAAAGTATGCAATTGGTAGGCTTAGTAAAGACGTAGTTTTTGAGTAGAATTATAACTAAGAATGAAGCATTGAAAAAATAGCATGTTTATGCTGCTCAAATATTTTTCTTTTATATCAGTTTTAAAATGATGTTATTCTTTTAGCAGTGTTAGCATGTCATAAATTTACTTAAATAAATGAATTTATTTCATTTTTTCACAATTTTTTTTAAAAATTATCGTTTGAACATTTTAGTGAAGTTTGCTGCTTTGGTAGAAATTTTTTTCAGAGAGTTTTCAGAGAGAATTTCTTAGAGTTCAAAAGTTACTTAAAGAAGAAAGATTTTAGCGCCACTAGGATTTTTTTAACGACAAATTTTTATTTCTGTAGGAACTAAACTCTTGCCTCTTAATACTGAGTCTGAATCGTTATCACTCCGGTCATTTTATCTCCAATTTGAGGCAATAATTTTTAGCGAAAATATTATGAATAATATTTAATAATAATAATAATTTAATAATAATATAAAAAATAATAATATTTTTATTATATAAAAAATTGGAAAATGACGAGTGAGCTCAATCACGAAAAATTAGAGATCGTTAATTGATCTTTGATTTGCTGTAAAAGCGTCGCATTGAACTGGAAATTTAGTTGTTTGCTCTATTTGTGTCATATTTTCCTTAAATGAATGGTTCGACTAATTCTCCAAATAGTTCGTCAAAAAGGCTGGTAATATGATTTATTTTGATGGGTAGGCTATTAGTTGTTTTCTATTTGAGAAAATTTTCCTCTTCCCATAATTCCGTATAAATTGAGATTTTCTTTTGAGTATAGAATGGTACATTAAATTTTGTTATCACTGATAAAATTTGGAATTGCTTTTTATCGGTGGATAGCGGTTTTATCAGAAGAATGAAGATAATTTGATAATAATGCAAAAATGGCCTACAATTAAAATAGAATGAGTTCTCAGACTAAATAAAAATGGCATAAATATAAAATAGTAATTTAATTTATAAATTTAAATTTACAGCACCTTTCCTTAGTTATGTTGCTTTACTAATAAAATTTTAGTCTACTTGTTTTATTGAAAATTCGATTTTAATATTTCTAAATGCAATTCTCGAAGAATTTAATCGATTGTTTAATTTTTTTTATCGAAAATGAATATTTAAAACTTCAGCATGGAGGTTCAACAAATGCTGTAGGACCGGCGCATTGTGTTCCACCTAAATGGTTATTACCAAATATTTATAAATTTTACGTTTTACTTCATGATCTGTCAGCCGATAATGATTCAAGGTTTTTTTGTATTTAATTCAAACTATTTTAAAATTTATTTGGAAAATTAACTTTTTTCATTTGTTATCGATTTTTGTCAAAAAAAATCGAAATTCGTTTCTTCTTTTTTTGTATGATTTTCGCCAAAAATCTTGCATACCATTCTACCATATTTCTCTCGCTTTTTAAAGAAGTTTATAAATTTTTCAAACTTTTTTCTCTCGTTGTAATCCACAGGTTTATCTGGTTATCGCTTCTTACTTATTTTATTATACTTACACTTATTTTTTGATTTTAATATTTATTGATTTATATTCCTCCGCTTATGTTGTTAAGAGATGTTAAATGGATTTTTCATTTTAATTTTCAGGTAAAATTCAGTTAATCAGAATATTTATTAGTGTCAAATTTTTATTGATTAATATTTGTTAACTAAAATAATTTTGATTTCCAGAACAAATGAATTATTTTCATCGATGTGTTCAACTTATGGTGTTCAAAATTGTCATTTGTTACGAATTAATTCGGGAAAAAATGTTGGACTACCTGATATATGGGAAAATATTTTAGAAAAACGGTATCGTGGATTACAGAATGGCTTGATTCTTGCTAGGAAAAATGTTCTTTCAAAAAGCGGTGTTGCAACTGATATTGCTGTATGTTCTTTCTTAATTGTTTTTCAAGTTATAAGATGAAACTGAAGGATTTTATTCAAAATTTACTAGAAATTACCATTATTTATTTTCATATTCTCGTAAATTCATTAACTAAAAAACTAAATGAAAAAAATTCTCAATTATTTTTTGTTTCTGAATTTTAGCAAAATTCTTATAAATCAGTGGATTTAATGAATTCGTTGGATAATACTCATAGTGAAAAATCCCTGCGTGGTCAATTTTTAACAGTTGAGGATCGTGAAAATATTACGAAATTTGTTGATTCAATGTTTAAAACTGGATTGATCCCATTTTTTGAGCGACAGATTAGTATTTTAAATGAACAGATCACAGCAAGGCGTGGTATTAGCAAGTCATTTGCAACAGGAATGAGAAAATGGTTCGGTACTACATCTCAGCCAAGCCTTGGTTCAAACATCACGTACGTATTATGCTTTATTCTTAAGGCATGTAGTGAAAAAATTTTATAAGTTATGATTTAAAAATTGCTGATTTCATTTTTTCTAAACTTATATTTTAAATATTTTAGATATTCAATGGAAAGCACGGAAATGCAGACCAGGCGTTTAGCAGATTTAAGTTTTATATTTGGCTTATATTCATATGCATATCAAGTATATCAGAATATCAAAAAAGAATTTGCTGTTGATCAAGCTTGGTTGTATCATGCAGGTGCTTTGGTTAGTGATTTTATTTGGAATTAAAATTTGAGTGTGACATTATTTAGATCATTAAGAAGAAATCAAAAAAGCTAAATGGCTTAAAAAGATTTTAATATTCCTTGTTTAAAATTTGTAAAATTTGTTTAATTTATAGAAGTTTAGGAAATGACTGCTATTTCCGCTTTTCTAAATACACCTCAAATAACTGCAAAACAATATCCAGCTCATTATATGGACAACGCAATTGGTTATTATTCTAACTGTGGGTAAGTATTCTTTTTTCTTGGCAAATATTTATATTTATGTTTGATTTATATTTTTCAGACGATCTGTTGAAATTATCAGAGCAGCTCTACTAAGTACACTGATTCTTACGTCATTAGAAATGTATGTGGAATCGGCGACACAGTTGTTAAAACTCACTGTTCTTGTAAGTTTTTTTTCAGTGCTTGCTATAGATTTATACCATTTTATTATTTATAAGTATTTGATATTTATTTATATTTATTTATTTAATATTTATTTGTTCTTCAGGAAAATGACCTTTATAGTGGTATATTATTGGAAAGGGCTTCAAATTGTTTTGGAATGGCAAAAATGATCAGAAAGATGGCTTTTCATTATGTTCTTGCTGGTCATCGATTACATAAAGCCGGTCAAAAGAGTTTATCGCTGGAATGTTATAGGCGTGCCCTTCCGGAATATGCTGGAAAGAACTGGCAGTTTGCTGAGGTTGAAAATTTTTTATCCTTTGTTAATGATGATCATTTACTTCTGAACGGTTTAATTTGCAATTTGATATTTAATTTCAGGATCATATACTGTATACGTTAGTGAATGAAAATAAACAAAGTTCAGAAACATTTGCATTATGCGAGCGTTTAATACGTGCGGAATCTCAGCAAAATGCAGAACAACAACAGCTCTTTCTTAAAGCTTACATATCGTTATTGATTCAGCAGTCAAATTTGCATAAAATTATGCCGACAGTTAAAATCCCTTTGGTTAACATGCAAAATATAGCGACAATTTATGGCAATGTACCCCTTATTTTGCCTCCAGAAGTCGAGCATGGCAATGTTAATCTTTCTTGCATCATCCATTAATGTTATTCTCCATTTTATCAGTAATTTATCTATTTTTATTCTTTGTCGGCCTCAACTATTATCTTATCGATGATCATTTTCCAGATCATTAATTTATCTAATATTTTTATAGAAATATTATGGTCATGATAAAATTTGTATTTAGGATCAATTTTGGAAAGAATTAGAACAAAATGCATTTCAAATCATCGCTGAGGAATCGGACATTTTTAGGCCATCACCAACAGTTAGCTGTTCAGCAACAAATAATGCAAAAGTGAGTTTTATTAATTTTTATGCTTTATTATTTCATGAATTCTTCACGTTTTTAAAATTTAAATTTTATTAAATTAATGTGTCGAAATAATAATGAAAAAATTCTTTTACATTTTTTATTTTCATTATTAATTGGAAGAAAAATCCATATCAAAAAAAAATTAGGTTATAATTTCATATTACACATTTTAGATACATTTCACTCCACCTTATGAGAAATTTCGAGTGTTCATCGAATTGAAAAACCCGCTAGAAGTGCCTTTGCAGATTAAACAGGCGCATTTAGATGTCAAAGGTCACCTTGCCTGTTTTCAGCAAAATTTTATCGATACGGTTAGTTCACTATCTGTTTATTTTAAAATTGTTTAACCTTATAGTGGGTTTCTTATTTTCAGATAATTTTGGATGCACATAGCGATTGGACTGTTTTTGAGTTTTTTGTATTTCCCAATGATAAATTGAACGAATTAACTGTATGTGGATTAATCTTTGATCTTTTTCTGGATGGATTATCGGTCACTTGTCAGATTCCACTTGTCATTCGCGGTCCGCGCCTTTATAGCACAAAAAAACAAGTTCGATATTTTTATTGTTAATATTTCATTACTTTTGATTACATTTTACGGTCTTAATTGCATCTATACAAGTATATTTTGGAATTTTATAAATCTTCGACGTTAAAATTAAAAACATTGCAGATTACTTCTGTTATATATGGAGTTGACCATAGATTGAAAGCTCATGTTTCGACAGATCAGTGGCCGCTTCTCAATATCGAAATGCCTTTACCTAAATATATTGATCTTTTCTGCGGCCAGTTTTATCGTTTTAATTGTACTTTTACGAATACTGGCTCTGTGCCTGTAAAAAATATTTCGCTGGTTACCAATCAGGCTGAATGTTTATCCATATTTGAAGAAGTACAAGATGGTGATAATATAAACAGATGGAAGTTGGCTTGGTGCACCACTTCAAAAAACAACAAAAATGTTTTAATATTCAAATTGCAAAATTCTGTTACTGCTGTTGGTGAATCAAGAAGGTTATATTTTTTGCTCTTTTTTAGTCTTGGCTTTTTTTAACGCGTAGATCTTAGAACTTCAAGATAATGACAAAAAAATTTCTATTATATTGATTTTAAAAATTTTCATTAAAAATGATTAAATTTTATTCAAATTGAAATTGAAATTGAGCGTTGCAGGTTAAAGGTTGCATTGCGTGCTCCACAAATAGATACTGATGCTTTTAATGTTTGTTTATTATTTTATTATCGTGGAATCAATGGTTTATTTAGAGAGGAAAGATTTTCTACCATGTTAAAAGCTAAAAAACTGCTGAAAGTATCGCTTAGGTACTTCATTTTGACATTTTTTTCTCCATCTCTTCTCGATTTTCTAATCTTTTAGTTTATATGATTATGAATTGATTTAATTTTTACCCAAATATTTTGATTTGGTTCAGACTAATTGACCTCGCTGAAGGATCTTATGTGCTTAATCTTAAAAATGACACAAGTCTTGAATCTGTCCTAGTTAAAGTGGAGCTTTTGCGACTTCGTTTAGCGCAAAACTTCCATTCAAATAATGGACCAATGTCTGCACAATTTCGTCTTTTTTCTTCAACGTCTCGTTCAGGTAAATTCAAAATTCAAAAAAGTGCTAAATTCAAAAAATTTTCTTTTTTAGTTTTTTATATATTCTTCAGAAGATTATTAAGAATATTTATTTCATTTTATTAATGTTTCAGTAAAATTAGATTGTGGTCAATGTGAAAATTTTTGTTTCCGAGCAGTCAACGATGTTTCACTTATGCATTCGCCTGCAAATAGTCATCTTCCATTTACCAGCTCATCAATGGATCTTTGGTTGTCCAGTCCAGTCTCTGATTTACCAGAATGGCCCGTATCTCCACTTAAGATCTCTGATGCGTGGAACAAACCAGATGAGCAGAAATCGTTACAATTATTCAATTTAGGACTTTTGTGGAAAGCGAATATCGTAAATACTGATGGTTTAGTGTCAAATGGTAAAATTAGTTAATAAACTTGGTTTTTTTTTGTCCAAAATTGTAAAAATCATTTATCCCAAGTTTGTAGCAGTAAATAGTTTTATTTAAGTTGTAGCGTAGTTCAATGGAACAATAAATTATGTTGATATTTACTTAATTTTATTCTTCAGAATATGCATATACATATTTGTTTTGCTTATTTTTGATATTACTTAATATTTTCAGTTTTTGGGGAAAGTTTTATTGAGAATTCATTTATTAGCGATTATTCTACCGTTAATGAAGAAATATCAAGAACTGAATGCGTTTCTCCTTTATTATGTTCTGTGAGCACAGAATCAGATATTATATTACATGATTTTAGCGTAAAAAGGTATAATTTTATATAATTTTCTATTATAATTTTATATTGGTATTGGCAGTTATCAAATATTTTTTAAGCAAACTTGCACATTAAATTTTTAGCGAGTCGCAATGATGTTTTTTCTTTCTTATCAGCTAATTTTTTATGTTTAACTCTAAAACACACTTAATTTTGGATCATTTTCACTTATTTGTTTATAATTTAGGCTTTGTCAAATTCCGGTGCAAATAATGATCTCAAATCGAGATATCGATTGTCGAAACTGTGATGTTGTTTTGGAATATATCACACCCAGTGATAGTTTTCGATTACCTCGAATAAATTCTGCAGAAACTCGCCTTCACTTATCCTCAGCATCTCAGCCATTACCATCAACAGCATTTCTTCAACGATCTTCTATCTCGCAGCCGCTTATTGTTGCTAATCGCTCAGTATTTCGAGCTAGAATTTTGTATGGGCACACTCATATTTTTCGAGTTAAATTAAGTGTTCCATGTGCATCTGTCTATAGTATTTCATGTTTTCGTGCAAATGCGAGATTTGATAATAGTGAAACTGTTGTGCCTATCGTTATACCCAATGGTTATGTAACTGTGATAATGAACGGGTCAAATAGGAATTTAGTATAATTCACTTTTTATTATTTATTTCAAAATAATAAATTTAAGTCTCTGTTTCCTCATATTTTTTCAAAATAATTAAAATTTTTATGAGTAGAATAAAGTTTGAGCAATAATTAGTTGTAGATTTATCATTAGATGTTTTACCGTCAAACAAAGATGTTTTTTGGTTAGATAATCTTATTTTTTATTTATTACAATTATTTCATTTTTTTAAAGATTCTTTCATTATTTTAGAAATATTGAAATTGTCGTATGAAGATGAACTCATTTTTTCTATTTAGGGAATTTTTATTATATTTTTTATTATTATTTTTATTTGCTCAAGCTTTTTAAATTTTTGAAAAGATATTATCAAACTGTTTTCAGAATCGTTTAATTTTGGATAACGTAGCAAAATAACTAATTTGTTCTCTTAAAATTCTCTTAATTGTTCTATTAAAAAATTTCCAAATTTGTTCAAATTTGGAATTTGATTTTCGAATGAGAGATTCTTTTTTCCTGTTGAAATATTTTGTTTTTATTAATTAAGAAAATGAAATTATTGTATAAAAATAAGATTCTCGAAAATAAAATAAAATAAATTCGAATATTTTATTTATTGATTGAAATTTGATGAGAGTTTATCATTGTATCATATCTACGTGGTTTATCAGTATTCTAGGTTTTTCTTCAGGTTTTCAGGTTTAGGTCTTTCTTCAGGTTTTTATTTTTCAGTGTTTTCTATTTTTTTCAATGAGTAAGACTTTTAAACTCATTCGAAAAAATTATTGAGAAAAGTTTTTATATTATTTAAAAATTAAGTTTTATTGCATTTAGTAAAATTGCTCGATAATGGCGTCACAAACTCAAGGTATTCAACAGTTATTAGCGGCCGAAAAGCGTGCTGCTGAAAAAATTAATGAAGCTCGTAAACGCAAAGCTCAGCGCCTTAAACAGGCGAAACAGGAAGCTCAAGCTGAAGTCGAAAAATTGCGTCAAGTAAGAGCAATGATATTCATACCTTTTGCTTTTTAAAGCCTCTATAAGTTCTAAAGAATTGTTGTGGACGCGGAAGAACATTGTGGGTTCTTTTCAATTTCTTTTTGAAGAGCTTGAGTTATCTTTTCATTTTTTCTGGTTAGGTTCGTTCCACCGGTCTGGTCGGGTTAGATTAATTTTTGCCAGAGAGCCACATGAAGATATTATTACCGTATTGTTTTACATCATATCATTATTCCTATATGGCTTACCATCATCATTTTTAAAGTATAAGTTTATTTCTACCGAGAACCCTAGGATTGGCGCTCCGAAATGAAAACAACTCAAGTCTCCATATTTTGACTTCAATGTAAACCTATACTTCTTTCTTTTAATAGCTCTCACCATTACTGGTTAGGCTGGCTGCACTGATTACAAGAGTAAAGCGTTTTCAAGTGAGGCGATCAGATGCCATCGTCGACAGTAATAGAAGCCATTCTTTTTTCCATTGTCTAAGTCCATATATTGCTGGTCCACCTATATGTTCAAAATCTTTCCTGATCAGTATCAGTCCACGTCTTGATTGGGTCACCTCGCTTTTGATGCCACTCATCCCAAAGTTTAGCAAATAACGGAATATGCGTCGAGTCCTGTGGTGGACGACAGAGAAACCAGCGAAGACAACGCTCTATGATAACATTATTAATACATTATTATTAATACAGGTGGTGTTTAAGCAAAGGTGGGTACAATCAATATGGGTATAATGTGCGATTTTATCAGTTCGATGGTTCTGTAAAATGTATCTTAGATTATCTTAGACATGAGTGGTCAAATATTGATAGCTTCTTAATATCCCCCACTCTCATTGGCTATATCTCACAGTCATATAACAACGAATCACAGCTATATAGATGAGGATTTTTGTTTTTATGGTAATTTCACGACGATGAAAGGTTTTTTCAACCGGAAGAACACATATCTAGCTATCGTGATCCGGATTTCAATATCTTCTTTTTCCTGACCATTCAGTATTAGACTGGATACAAGGTATTTCAAAAGTCGGCAATTAATTTGTAAAAAGAGGCATTTTATCCACTTTTTATGCATATGACGAAAAGGCTGCAAATTCGATGAAACACGTGGATTATAAATTTTTGAAGCGACCTTCCAACACCTTTCTTAATGTGAATATCTGGTCAATGCAACCACGCCCCGTTCCGAATCTAGTTTGATTAAGGCGCATTCTGTTGTCTCCATAAGTCTGTTGAGTAAAAGGGATGCCAAAAAATTTCTGCTGAGACTTCTACTAGGCTGATTCATCGATAATTGTCGAAATATGTCCTATCACCTTTCTTGAGAATTGGAAGTAGGACTTTGAGTAGCTTTGTCAATCATCTAGTAATATTTCTTTTTTCCATTCAAGACATTATATTTATACGTTATATTTACTTTATTAGAAATTAGAAATTTAAATTTAAAAAAATTTATTGAATATTCATTTTTTTAGCACATGGATTCGAAAAATTTTAAATAACCATATCTGTTAAACGAATTTATTGAGAAAAGTAGTGACACTGTACTTAAATAGCTCTTCAATATCTGATTTAATAAAGCAAATACTTCATTAATCTTAAAACGGGGATCTTAAGATCTAATAGTTCTTTTAGCGATTCGCAAATTATTCTGTGGAAAAATTGTTTCAAATTTGTTTTTTTAAAGATTATTGTCAAATACCGGCCCTTTTTTCTTACATATTTTCTACTGTTTTTTTGATTTATTTACTATAATTCGAAATCGAAATTGATTGAAATGATGATAAGTTTACAGGAACGTGAACGACAATTTAAAGAATTCGAACAGAAACATTTGGGCTCGAAAGAAGATATTGAACTGAAAATCAAACAAGATACCGAGAATACGATTAGGGAAATGGAAAAAAGAGTAAATGAGAATAAGCAACAGGTTTTCAAAGAATTTTATACTTTTAACTTTTTTAACACTTCATGAGGCATTCCTTTCCAGGAATAATTCTATGTTTCAGTTTCAATTTTTGCGCCTCACTTCTCCGCACCTCTTTTAATTTTCTGGTAAAATTGTGCGTGATTTTTCGAAAAAAAACTGCATGATTATTTTCATATCTAAGTTTTTCATTTAAAATTTCAAAAAATAACCTAAATTTTTTATTTTACAGGTAATTGTTCGTCTTTTACAGTTAGTTTGTGATATCAGACCGGAAATGCACAGAAATCTACAAATTCAAAAGAAACTTCATGGAATGCATATTTGAATAAATACGGAATTTTCAGAGATTTTATTAAAATATAATTAAAATATCAAGTTAAAATATTATTAAAGTTTTGAATTTTTCATAAAACTGTTGAGAAAAAACGATAGCAAAGCATGGTACGTCGGCCAGATTCGTGCCCAAGGAATTTTTTGAGGAAATAGCCTGTGTCCTTCTCCTTAAGTTCCTTTAGGACATAATAGTTTTAGATGAAATAGTTGATAGTTTTTCCAACAAATTGCTGGCATTATTATTTTCATTCGTAATTTCTTCATTTGAAATTTTCTCATAAAGCAATAATTTTTTTTTATTCATTATTTATTTTTTGTAGGTTTTTTTGTTTGAATAAATATTTCATGTAAATTTCATGTCGAGTTTTGATTCTTTCATGTTTATGGCAAATGTCTTATAATTCGATTATTTATTAAGTATAGGCGGTTAATACTTGAAGCTGAGGATGATTGCAACAGCTTGGTAAGTTGAGTCGCAAGGAAATTAGGGATGCAAGATTTCCAAGCACCAACCCGACTTTTTAATGACTTATTTGCTTTCTAATGCAATACATACCTACAAACTATGATATTTGCAGTAATAAACTAGACTAGTGGTCCTCAAACTTATTGTAGAACTTAGAAAATAACTATGAGAATTTACTAAAAACTATTTTAATACTGCCTTGATCATTCCCCTAGGTAAGAGCCAATGAGTAGCCGGGCGGACCGCAATTTAGTGGATTATATGCTATTCATCGGCTATTTAACGCTATGTGTCGGACTGTTTCTGGAGCATTCAAGGTACAGTCTGTCACCTTACATTGAGTCCTGTCTGTTGTGGAGATCCATCCGGTGGATCTGATACTTCGTGCCTCCTCTTGCTTAAATCGGATCTGCTGGGTGGTTTTGTGAGGTGAATATTGTCAGTGAATTATTTACACTGATAAAGAAGTGATTGTTCGGTCTTTCATGGATTAAGTGGGATGCGACATAATGTTTGCTTCGCGTTATGCCTCCTTACTTTTGTTTTTATTATTTATTATTTTTTTATAGAAGAATTATTGCAGGTGAAGTGGTAATATGATCGAAATAACAGTAAATGATCGTTTAGGAAAAAAAGTACGTATAAAATGTAATCCATCGGACACGATTGGTGATTTAAAAAAATTAATCGCGGCACAAACAGGAACAAGGTAAATTGATCGCGAATATTTGTCATATTAATGATGAATCGAGCATTTTTGCTGTATTGGATTACGAGCATTCTATTAGGCTTTCAAATGTGACGACGAGGAAAAATCCTAATTAAATTCTGATTATGACATTTCCATAAAAAAGATTGCGAAATGTTGTTTTATAAAGTATTAGGGCATTCTTTTTTTGATTAGCTTCATTGTACTGGCTATTCGAGTAAGATAACAGATTTTATCAGAGAATTCACTTGACGATAGAAGTTATAGAGGTATAGATGGATCGGCAGCAGTACCAGAATTTCTTAATACTATTTAATACTACTTAATACTATCTTTCTACCAGGAATAGAAGCACTATCGCTACAATTTAATGAGCGCTATTTTATGAGTTCGTAATTTTCAAGTTCGAATGTATTTTAAGGTATGAGAAGATCGTTTTAAAGAAATGGTACACGATATATAAGGATCATATATCACTGCAAGATTACGAAATTCATGATGGTTTCAATTTCGAATTATATTATCAATGATATATTAGAAAAAAAGGAGTTAGTTGTTTCAGTCATATTGTTTTGTAAAGTTTTTTTGCTGTTATTATATGTTTATGTGTGAAAACCAATTTATTTGATTGTGGCTTTCATTATATGGCTTGCAATTATTATTTATTTGTCTAATGGCATCTTTCTATTGTATTTATTTTCTATTTGTTCAAAAAGTACTCCAGGCTTCATTCGAATAGGCTACGCCAATAGATTGATTGCACAATATAGCAGAGCCGTTTTTTTTCACTGCATTATTATTTCCGCGAAATTTTTCATCGTAAAAAATGAAAATTTATTTTTCGCTATTGCTTATTCATCAGTTGTGCTTATAAAGTGACAGAATTTCAGGTTCATTTTTTTTACTAAGGCAGTTTTTCGCCTTCTAATTTTTTCACTAATTATTTTCTTGCAAAATATGTTAAATAAATAAATTTGCAATAATATCACGTTCTATTCTACTGATTGATCCAAATAAACGACCATTTATCGAAAGAATTTTGTGAATTTTTGTTCAATTTTTAAAGGTTTTCTTTGTTTCTTTGTACTTATGTATTTTTTTATATTGTACTTATAATTGTTTTATTTACTCCGGAATACTCTTATATATTCGCATTAAATTTTCCAAAGTATTTGTCTGTTCATTATCATTATCTGTTCATTATTTAAATTTTACAACATTTTATCTCATAATGAATCAAGGAAGCGAACGAAAATTTTATTTTCTTTTGCGTAAATTTTTTTTAGAGAATTTTAATGAAAAGAATCGCGGTGAAATATTAAGCATATTAAGCAAATGTGAGAAATGTCTAAAAATGAGCAACTTGAAAATTTTGATAAAATTTTGCGAATATTTATTAATCGCGTGATATTTAGCTTATCGTTGTTTGGAAATTGCTATTGATAATGAGAAATAATAGGGAACTGTCCGCATATAAAGATGCTTAAATTGTGAAATTGAGTATAAGCCATATCCATTTTTTCAATCCAATTTTCATATCCAATTTTGTGATAATTGATAAAGTTTTTTCTTTTCCGATAAAAAACAGAAACTTCTCTTAATATTCCCTTTCCAACCTATTGGTTTTAATGTTTTTAATGAGTTCTTTAAAAACTATAATTAAGAATTGAATTCAGCGATTTGATTTTTGTATCTTCAATTGATAAGGGAAATTGATGGGATCGATTGGAGATGTTCAGGCTCAGTTGTCTTTTCCAAATATTATTACACAATCTGAGGTACTTTTAATTATCAAATCAAGCAAATATGGATCTTTGAACATTATTATTAAAAGAGAATTCTTAGGAATTGCTGGAAATTAATTTGCTTATATATTCGAGTTAAAAAACTTTCTGACTTAATCTATAGTTTCTTGTTCTTCTGACAACTCTCACCATTACTGCTTAGGCTGGCTCCAGCAGCTACAAGGGTAAGACGCTTCCAAACGTGGTATGATGCCATCGTCGACAGTAATAAAAGCCATTCCTCTTTCCATCGTCTAAGTCCATATATTGCTGGTGCACCTATACGTTCTTTCCTCACCGTATCAGTCTAGGTCTTGACTGGCTCACCTCGCCTTTGATCCCATTCATCATACGGTTTAGCAAGTAATAAAATATGGACAACTCTTGTGATGCACGACGGAGAACGTGCCCTAACCACCGAAAGCGACGTTCTTTGATAACGATAACAATACAGGTGGTGTTTCAACGAAGATGGATATGATCATGTCATATTTTATCATGTGATATTTTACCTAATCTATAGCACTAACCTTTTTATACTTTGAAAATTTATTTATTATTTATTACTGAAATTTATTACTGTTGTTATAATTCTTAAGTTATTGTTTGCAGGGTTTTTTAAATCTCATCAAATATCTCAAAAAGTCGAGAAATGATGCTAAGGAGAAGGTGAATTTATCTATTTTGGACAAGATTTCTTATATGTTTATGGTACTTTAAGGTGTTCAAAGATACTCAAGAAGAACTCATATATCTAAAGCTTTATGAATATTCCACGATTTTCTGCTAAACAATACGAATATTCAGAAAAAAGCTGTAAATTTATTGTGTTCTGAAATGCGTAATGGATCAGCAATTGTATCGAATTGGATTTGCAGTATCATTCCGTACTTAATAAATGAGAATATCCTTAGTGCAGATGAAGTTCAACCGGAGTGTCTTATTAATTCATCAAATTGGACAAATCCAACTGCAATATTCAATTTAATTTTTAATATTACTGAGGATTTAATTTCGTTAGTAAATTTTTTCGATTTTTTTTTTAAATTTTTTGCTCGTTATTTTCGATTAAACTATCATTCAAAATGCATTTTTGCTAGGAAATCACCTGGCGATGGAACTATAGAATGAGTTGTCCTGGATTATTAGAAAACAGATTTACTCGTGTCAAGCATAGAATACCGCGATAGAATTATAGACGAGTTGATAATATCGCTTGACTTGAAATTCTAGAAGATTCACTCGTGCCACTAACACTAACGCTCTGTATAAAGTGAGCATAAAAATCCATTGTTTCATTTCATCTTTCTTTAGTCGATTTATAATTTTATTTTCTGTAATTCAATCAGTCCATTGGAAAACCAGGTGATTTTCAAAATATAAATGGTCAGTCCACTTTAGAGTAGCGGGAAAAGGAGTAGTGAGAGTTTCAGCTCGACCAGAATTCGAATTCTCGAGTTAATTTTGATCGGTGCGATAAGCGTTGTATTATTCTCATCATTCCTTTCTTGCTGCCCTAGCAATATGATTAGGTGATAAGGCGATTAATAAATACAATTTAAATTTTATATTTCTACAGTTTAGATCGTCGTTACAAATTTTGGCCCATGTTGATCAACGCTGGCATTCACAATTTGCAGCTGCCTTAAAACTTTTGAATTTGAAAAAGTTCGTCTTCATCTGAAATTTTAACGGTGATTCCATAGCCTAAAACGGAAATTGGGAAATTTTTGAGAAGTTCTTTAGGCATTTATTAGACAAATTGCTATTTGTTCATTGCCAGTCAGTTTTCAATTTTTTTATTTTAATTCTTAATTCTTGCTATATTAAAATTTTTCATCATTTTTATTTTAGCATAATTTAGCATATTTTCAGTTCGTTTCCATGCATCATGCGATTATTACTCGACAAACGTATGGCAGAAGTTAATAAATTGGAATTGGCTAATTTTGTTGTTCTTCGAAATATTAGTCGTGAAATGGGACTATTATTTAGTTTAAGTGATTTTTCAGTTAATCATTCAGTTCTTTCATGTAAAGATTCGCTTCATCGAACTAATTACATATTAAAACATGCAGGTTTGCTTTCTAATTTATTTTTCAAAATTTTTTAAAATTTTTAACGAATTTTATTCCTAAAAATCTCTTATTATATTATATTAAATATTATAATGAATTACGTGAAAATTGCTTAGAATTTTTATTTTTATCCAAATTCTTTTAGATCAGTTTTCGGTAGATATATTGAAAACTTCAAGATTGGATTATCCTGAATGCATTTTTACTCTCGTTAAGTGCCTTTATGACAGTTCTCCATGTTCAGCAATGGCTCTGCTGATTAATCCGACATTTCCAATCCACCCTTCTATGACTGCTGTTCTTCTTAGCCTTTATCAATGCTTACGATATATTGCTGATGAAAAAAATCTTCCTTCGACTTTCGTCCCTGTTGGTTATGCTGACTGTTTAAAAAATTTGATAGAAAAGACAAAAAATGCTAATATTCAGCTGTACGATGATTATGATTGTGATAATAATCATGCTATACATTATTTGCATTGGATAGCGGCATCCGAATCGCGTATTGAAACATTTCTGCAGGTATTTACCTCTATTTTTGACTTTTCACTTATCTTCAAATTATAGAACTTTACTCAGTTTTGAAGATTTCGAGGTTAAAATTAGAAAACTTATTAGTTGATTCAAATTTATATTTATTTAGTTGAATTAAAATTAATCCAACCAAATTAAAATTAGTAGTGTTTAGGCATGGATCCTGAAAAAAACGACAAGTGTTAACCATTATGAATTGGATTTTGTTGCTGGTCTACTTCCAAAATTAAATGCAAAGACCGTTAATCGTTTCTTGGAACTTTTGTTTATTTTTTCATCAAAAAATAAAGGTTTGGTAAGTTTATGGATCTATAGTATTATTATTAAATTGTTTCTGAGGATGATTTCAATGAATTTACAGTCGGTGAAAATAATTTTTTTTTCAGGCGAAGCAAATTCTATTCATTATGCTCACTATTCATTCCAGTACAAAATTTCCGAAAAATGTGATTTGGAAGTGGCTTGCACGATTAGATGTGAACAAGGTTTTCGGTTTTTTTTTTAAGAACCCTTACCATTACTGGTTAGATTCGCTCTGCTAGCTTCCAATATTGCGAAGAAGCTGCTTAGCAATAGAATAACAATAGAATAGATGCATGAGTCGCCAACGTCATTTGAAATGTGAGCAAGATATGTTAAATTTTTTTATTTTAGTGACTAATCCTTTTTGTTCTGTTTTTATTCATATTTGTGCAATTATAAAAATGAATAAATCTTGATTTTATCCATGATTCGCTCCAGAAATTTGACAACACTAAGGAATTTTATGAGCGTAATGAATGTTTTATGGTTTTTGCATAGCTTTTTAAATTTGGAAAATTTTCATTTCCTCGCCTACTTCTGCTATTGGAAAGGAAATAAATTACCCGCGTTGCATTAGCGCCATACCATGCTAGTGTGTTCATTTCGCTGTTGATTTGCTAGTATCCATAAGGTAGTATAAACTAGCCCCAGTAATGAATAGGTTCTCTATTTGCTGTAGATGATCCAAATGTATTTATTTCAGTTTATGATTCCATCTATTCTTCATTTACTTCTCTCACTTACCAATATGACTGATTTACGCTATGAAGCATTGAAATTATTGGGTGATGTTTGGTCACGGAATCAAGAAATTTTTGATCGCCTTAAACCGCTTCTAATAATCGATCCTCACAAAGACGATTTGGAATGGCAAAAATCGAAAATTTCATTAATCAAACGTATTTGTTGGGAAGGGTACGAATTTATTTCGATTTGATTTCTATTTTTGTATAAGAAAAGCAATTCTCAAAATTTTCCATTTCATCACAATTTCAATATTTTAAATTTTTCTATCGTTCCTGAACATTTCTTCTAGCCAATTTTCGTTTCAGATGTGAATCTGACGATCTGAAGGAGTTGATGGAACAGCTGAAAATTATACTGGACAGTGAGAATGAATTGTTACTGGATGTGATACAAGCTTTTGAAGGATTATGTGCTTCGGAGGTTGTTCGATTTTGAATAAAATTTGAATTTTGCATTTGACCGATTCTTAAAGTACTATGAGAGCAAAGTTAATATAAATAATGGTTAATGCCATTTATTGACTGAAATTGTGGTGATAAAGCATGCTTATTATTTTTTAGATATTGAAGCTTCGTTCTATTTCTACAGCGATTAAATCCATTGTTTTGAAGCGGCAGAGAATCGAAGAAGTTTGCGCCTATTTAAGCTTTTTGGCTTCTGGATCAATCGGTGCTGAAGATGAGGTAAGTTGGGATAAAAATTTCATAGAGCGTCTTTTTTCATTTTTCTAGATACTTACTTATATAATTTTAGGAAATCCAAGTTGAATTTATGGTAGAAATAATAAATTTCACAAAAAATTCGGAGATGCGAGTAAGGGAAGCTGCTTGGCAGGCGTTGTTTCGTTCGTTTTCAAAGCAAGATGTAATTTTGATTGCTTTGGAAAAGGCTTCTATTTGTGACGTTTTATCGATGACGAATCTTCTGCAGACTTCTAATGAGGATGAAAAATTTGAAGGTTCGATTGTCTGGATTTGTGAAATTTTATTATTCTATATTCTTATTCTTGTCGCCAAATAAGTAAGGAAAAAGTTTATTACTGGTAATTCTTATATGCCAGAGAACTTCAATTCTGAATTTCTAGCAATTTCCAAAGGGTTTTCATTTTAAAGAACCAATCGCTTAAAATTACAAATTTTCACCATTGTAAGAAAAAATAGAAAAGAGAATTATGGTTGCATAGTAAAATATTTTTAAATTTTTTAAGGATTTGTAAACTTTCTTCGAAAACTTATATTTACTCAAGTCGCTGAATTCGGTCGTGGATTATACAAAGAAAAATCCATGTTTTGTGATTTTACGGAAATTTTTCGAGTATTTTAAATTTTTTGCATTTTTATATTTATTTTGCATTTTTTTAATATTTTATATCTTTTATATATTTTTTAATATATATTTTACATTTTATATGAATGTGCTGCTCTTTTTGATATTAATTTTAATTAATATTAATTAATAATAATTTTAATTTTAGTTTGATTGATTTAATATAACTAAAAATTTTTCTTTAACGATTTAACTAACTGAATAGAATAAAAAAATTCTTCAGTATTTTTGGTTTTATTTAGCGTTGAAATTTATAGCTTAGTTTGTGGTTCATCAGGATTCAGGACATTTTTCGCCAAAGTGCCAAACAAAATAAATAAAATTATTGATTTGCATTCGTCCGAAGTTCATGAATTCTGCACAGTTATCCCATTGCTGTAACGCAGCCATTATGATAGGGTGCTATGAAAGATTAATTTTTATAAACCACACTGTTCAAAATCCAGGATATACTTTTATTTTCAGGTTACATCTCTCGATAGTTATATATTTAAAAAAATTGATATCAATACCCTTATATTATATAAATATGCTAAACCAAGAGCTACGTCAGCCAATGCCTTGGAATCATTAGAATTTCTCTACAACTCATTAATACAAGTAGTATTTAGTAATATTCATTGCAATTTAAATTTCTCTTTTTATTTTTCTGTTTGGTAAAATGATGTTTTTTTTCCATTTCTTGAAATTTCTTATTGAAAAAATAAGGACGAGATTAAGCCGAATTTATTAAAATGATTTGCTTGCAGTTGTCCTTCCCATTTGACTCAATTGAGAATAATTGGAAAGATGTAGCGATGTATATCGTTTCATGGAAAACCTTAATTGAAACTATTTATGAAAATATTTACGCAGCAAAGAAGCATAAACCATTCGAGTTGGCCTTTTTTAATTCTTTTTTAAAATTTTTTATGAAGAAAAAATCTATTTTGTATAATGTATTCTCCTAAATTCTCCTCTTTCTCCTAAATTCCTTGAAATGTAATTTTTTAAATGTAAATGTTATTTAGAATTACACAACGAATATGTGAAACGTTTCGACGAGCTATACTTAAGTCAAACAATGCACAAGCTAATGTTACTATTATTTTGCCATATTTGGCTAAAATTTTTTCGAAATTTGAAGTAATTTTTATGGATTTCTTTACACTCATACAATTGCTTTCTGCCAATCGAATTTTTATCGAAACTTCAAGCAATACTTTGCTTTATACTTTAAATTATACTTTAATTTTTAAAAATTATACCAACATTTCATACAATAATCAGCTATTGTCAGCTATTGCATATTATCATTAATTTTCAGATGCTTGAATCTAATAATTATTCTCTTTCTGAATGCGCTATAACATGGTTGTCCGATGTTTTTGATCATCTACTTTCTTGTATCAGCGATAAGCGCAGTAGCCACTCGAAGTTTTTTTCTCAAGAAATGGTATTGTTTTATATTTTATAGGTTTATGTTTTTTTGTAGAAAAAGCCAATTTTTAATTGTAATTAATTGTACTTTATGAATATTTTTCTTAATTACGAAAATCATACTTTTAAATCAGTTTTGCTTAAGTATTTCTTATAATATTTCTTATATCCAATATTTTAAACTGTTCTTTCCTTCTCAAATAACTTCCACGGTTTTTGATTTAGCTGGTTTAATATAAACTACTATAACGCTTTATAACGCTTTTGAGCCTCCATATTCTCTTCCATTCTATTCCGTATCTGAAATTAATTAAAACCACTTTTTTTGTCGTCCATAAATCGTTAGATTTTCTATATTTTCAAGATTTCTCATGGTCTCGCTGTTGGTTAGGCTTCTTTGCTTTTTGGGTCCTATAAATTTTGGTATGTAGCGAGATATTTGTTAATTCTTATGTTAAAATACGACAAAAAAAATGGCGAAGCTCGCCTGCGACACATCTTCGATGCCTATGGTATTTGACCGAGTGAGAGGACCAGCTATATATGGACTTAGACGATGGAAAAAGGAATGGCGTCTAGCGATGGCGTTCGACTTTGCCGCTTGAAGTTGTCTTAGCCTTGTAGGTAGTGGAGCCAGCCTTAACTACTAATGGTGAAAATTGTTAGAAGATGAAGAGAGTGTAATTATGTGAGGTCTTATCCGCATTGATTATATAAGATATAGGCAGAAATATGGAGAAAAATAGCTCTTTGATGCCATTTGCCATCATTCATAACTTTAATATGGAATTTTTTATATTCAGTTGATATATTTGTGAATTTGATTTTATGAATCCTAAAGTTTATTTTTTATATTACTCCGATTAATAATGGATTGATGAGAGTAGGATGGCTCGGTGGGTTGTTGCTCAATTGGGAACGCCAATGCTGAGGTTCGATTCGACCCCGCAGGCGTAGATTTGTACAAAAATCCGGGTGATGCTGGCTCGTCTGTATTTCTATCGCCAAGGGACTCCCTGGCATATTGTCCAATGCAACAAGCCAGTGGAGCGAGTTTAATCAGTAACGATTGTCTTTTCTCTGCAGAATTTACTGAATTTCAATATTTGCGTTGCACATTTAATCGTTTCATTTCAGGTTTTTGACAAAGCTTTTTTACTTTTGGCTCGACTTTCAGCTTCTTTCATGCAATATTTTCTTTGCGATTTAAGAGTCATATCGCGTTTTACTGATTCAAAAGATTTGTTACTATCAAATGAAGAAGCTAAGCGAAATTGGATTGATGATTTGATCGCTTCGTTATTTGGTGAAGACGGAAGCCTACAAAGCGGTTCCATCTTATTTATTCATAATTTATTTGTTGCTTTTTTAATATTTCAAATTTCACGGCAAAGCTTATTCTTTTTGCGAAAAAAAAATTGTAAAGATTAAAGTTATTTAATTTTTTTTTCCAAATCGATTCATTTTCAGATATTGGTCGTGCATTTAATACAGTTTTAAATTTCTTATTTTGTCTTAATGTGGAAAAATGTTCGATTTCGGAAAATGATGTAATTTTATATTCAATTTTACTTGGTTATGATTCAACGATTATTCAACCGCTTTTAAATCGTTTATTTCATTCGAATTATAGCGCTGATGCTGTTGGAAAACTTCTGGAGAAATCCTCATTGAATGACGAAGAGATACAAGCGAGTTTCATCTATTTGATCTTTTATAAATATAAATTTTCCGTAAATTTAGAGATTTATTTAGATTATATATTTTTAAGGATTTATTCAATTATTTTGTTCGTCTCACTGATGCCGATCGAGATTTCTATGCCTTCAAATTATTGAAACGAATAAAAAAAGAATCTTCGAATGTTTTAAAATTTAATTCTATTATCAAGGGTTATTTTTGTGATTCAACTCAAATTTGGAAAGTTTTATGTAAATCTTTCTGATTTCGTTTTTATTTATGCATGAATTCTTATTACAGGTCTCGCTTGGTATTTTCTTGCATGTCCGCCGTCTATTTTTGATACTTTGCCACGAAATTACAATTATCTTCCAGAAAATTGTTATTTACGTGAAATCGTCCGATGTTTGAAAGAAAAAAGTTGGAGTGAAAATAATAAGGTATCTCTATGAAAATTTATGAATCGATATATTTTCTCATTGAAACAAACATTATTTTAGGTTGTTCCAATTGTTTTTAACTGCCTTTTAAAACACAGTTGCGACGATTATAGGAAACTTATTTTACCTCCGATGAATTGGTATTGTTTGTATGAACTTTATCGTTCTGTTCCTGATTGTGTAGAGTTGTTATTGCGTATTAGTCTTCAAGAATGCAATCTCAAGGTATTCCATTGTTATTTGTTATTTACCTGTGGCAAATTTTCCAGGTCATTACTAAGGTTCACATAACAATTCATTGCGATAAGATTGAGAAAAGTTAACGTTGATAGCAGTACCAATAGTGAGCAGAATGGATGAATGCATTAAAGGAAAGAAGCATATTAAATGCCCAAAAATATAAAAACTTCGTATTTTCTTCTTATTCGCTGTATAGATTTGAGGATAGAATATTAACTTACTTCACTAATCGATTATAATAACAATATATCCTCCAAAACGTTACATTATCTTTTTTGATAAACTATTATCTTTTTTGCAGATATTTTGGGAAATTTTGATCTCTTGTGGCTCTTCTGATACGTTGAAATGGTCAAAATTTATTGTGGAATTTCTAGAAAAATTATCTAAAAATTTGTGCATAGCGCAGTTCAAAGGTTTACTATTAAAATTATTTGATCTCGCTGAAGAAAATGAATGGGATGAAGAAATTCTAAAAGCTCTGGCAAACTTTCCAGATCCATTATTAGTTAAGGTTAGGCAAATTCGTTTTCATATTGTCTTATTTATTTCAAATCAAAATTGATAAATCGAAGCACCAAAAAGGGCAAAAGGTTATACAAATGGTAGTTAATATGACTTAATATAACAAATAAATTTATATAAAATAATAGTTCATATCATGGTATTTGTATAAAATAATTCCTTTCTTTTATAGTAAATAGATTTTATAGATGTGGATAAAAAAGGTGCCCAAAATTGTCAGTACGAATTCTTTTGAACATCCATTACTGAAATGTTTTGCTAAGGTTAAAATTCCTCACCAATCGTTCAGCGATAATCTTTTATGTATCTGGATGATTTCAAAAAATTTCGATCGATTGGAGCTGGAGATATTGTTATTTTATCTAATATCCACTCCATCCTCGTTGGTTATTTTAGAATACCAGTTTTCCTTTATCTTTTTAAATTATTGAAAATGGCTGTGATTATAATTAAAATTTTGCTTTATTTAGTTCTTCCGCCTTCCTTCTCATCACAGAAAATTTCAAATCATTATTAAAATTAGAGCGTGTTTCACTCGTAAATGATTTAATTAGTTATTGTGGACTTCAAAAATCGATCGCCAAACAAAAGGTACTGCATTCTGATTAACTGAAATCCTAAATTCAGGAGCGAATTTTCCTAGTTCGATAATTTGCGCTAAATATTCAGGAAATTTTAATTTGTTGGAAAATATTTATTGCATTATTCGTGTCCGATCCTTCTTTGTCGCCACCAATTTTTACATCTTGTCAAGGAATTAATGATGATGAATTATGGACTTGGGTTCAGTCTCGATTATTTCAACATTTTGAGCAAATCATGATGCATAATGATTATGAACCGGAGCATAAACATTGCGTAAATTTTTATTACGGCAAGAAAACAATAATATAAATATCGAATGAGTTTTTCCAAGACGGAATTAATAAATTAATAAAATTTTCGGATTTTTTTTTGAAAATTTCGAAAATATTTTTTCCAAATTTATCGTTACTTTGATGGAGGGAATGATACAAATATTGGTAAATCTGTTGAAAAAATGCTGCTGGATTTAACATGAAAAGCTTTATATCGTTTTTATATTTTCACTATTTTCATAATAGGAGCAGAATAGTGTAGGAGCTAATTAAATATATTATATTTATAAACATTTGTATTATATAAATTTATATATTTATAGTTCGTTTACATAATTTTCTGTTTCTTATTTGTTATGTTAAGAAATATAGCATCAGAAAAAAGAATTGATGGAATAATATGCTTTGGTTATAGAATCAATGGAATAACATTTAACTTATCACTTATTACTTTTAACAGAGACTACTTTTAACAGTTCTAATTATTTATAAATTACAGTTTCTTGCTTTTCTAATTGGTTTATTGAAAATGAAGGATTTATTCGAGGAAGAAACTGTACTACGAATACGTGGTTAGTAACATTTTCTATTGTTCCCTAAAATTTTTATTTACTTAAATCTTTATATCGAATTTTCTCGTGTTAGCTGGTGTGAACTCACCTATATTATTTTCTTACTCTCTAAATAAATAAATCAACTGATTAGTGGCTTCGTTTGTTACAATATTTTCAGTATTTTCGGAATTGAGCTAATTTATTTTAAATTTATTTCCCTAAATAGCGATTGACTTTTGTTAGAGAATCTCAGAGATCATATAGTTTCTCAGCGTTAGAATTTAATTCTAAGATTATTTCTGTCAAGAGCGAGAATCGAGCCAACCGTGCTCGACATAAATCGAAGTAATCATTGTATTCTATCGTCCTTAAAGGGATGATGTGGTTCAGTGGCTTGTTGATCTCACTTCGAAGTTCCGATGCTGGGGTTCCACTTCTTGCAGTAGTGAAACTTGTCTTTCAGAAACTCGCGTGGTACTGGCTACTCACGTATATTTCTATCACTAAATCATTCCCTGGTAAAATGATGCTAAACTAGAGGTAGTGAATGTTCTTAAAAAAAAATTAACGCTAAATATATTAGCATAATTTTCATTTTATTATTGGGATTATTTTGCTATCAAAAATAACGAAATATTTATTTTTGTACTTATCGAAAATATTTTAAAATATTTGTATATTTGTCATTTTAGAAATAGTATGGATAATGTTGAAGAACGATCGAGAATATTCTATGAGTGTCATTGATGAAGAAAATTTATGGAACGATATTTTTATTCCTTTTTAATTATGTTTAATTGTTAAAATAATTTGAATTGGAAAAAGCCATTAAATAATTTGAATATTTAGAACTATTTTGAAGTTATTGTTACTTTCACCTGAGAAATAGAAGAGATAGTAAATTGAGGATTTTCATATGATTTTATAAATAGTGATAAAAAGATGATAAGAAGTGGTAAATAAATGGATTAGTGATATTTATATTAGCGATATTGAAAATTATACGATTCTATTTTCGTTTTATTCCCGAATAATTTTCCAAATAATAAATAAGCAATAAAAGATTTAATAATACATGTATAAATACTGAACACAAGGTCATCTATAGGTCGGTTATTTTTGATTTATATTGTTTTAGATCTCGATGATTTGTCAATAATAAATCAGTAGTATAATTCAGTAGTATAATTGGAAGGAATCGCATAAAGTCAATTTTATTTATTATTTATTAATATTTATTATTTAATTAAAACATAAGGAATATATAATTTGAGAGAAACGATTGAGATTGATATTAAATATATGAATGGTTTGCACTTATCATTTCTTGGTTCATTGGCTTCATTTGCTATTAGTAGGTCGAAAATTTAGCCATAATCACTTGGAAGCTTAGCTAGGACATCTCCAACGGAGATCTTCACTAATCAACGGGTTTCAACAATTTACGACGATTTCTATTTTAATTCTATAGGCAAGCATAAGAGATATGATTATTATTTGGTGCAATGAAAAAAATATATATGGTTTGGTTTTTTTTTGATAATCTTTTAATCTTTATTGTGTGTCAACTTTTTTTGCCTAATTTATATAATGCGAATGTTACGAATGATAATAATATCTTTAGTATGAAGGTACTTGAAATTCAAGTTATCCGAAATCTATTTCAAAGTTCTTATTTTTTTGATAAAATGAGGAAAGAACGGGAACGGCAGTTGAATATTTTCGTAGAATTTTACATTTGACATATTTTCATGTTTTCTCGTTTTAATTGCCTAATTCCAGAATTAGTTTGCTGAATGTTAATCAAGGAAATTAGAGTTGTTTTTAGGTTCGATTATTTTCTTGCTTTTCTTTTTCTTCAAACGACTTTAGCTGATTGTTTGCTGATTGATTGTAAGGGTTTTTTCTTTCTTCAGAATCAGTTGAATTGAGGATAGAGGCTTCCTAGTAGTATATTTGCATTTGGCAGATTTACTGTTGGAAAAATTGAATGCTCTGTATCAACTAGATAGTTCAGCTTGGAAATATCTTATCCTCATATCGTAGCCAGCTGAGCCATCCTAACCAGTAATGAATGAGAGCTGGTAGAAGAAGAAGAAGAATGCTCTATCAATATCAGTCATAATTTTGGGTTCAAGGGTTTTAGTAAATATTTATTTTTCATGCTTAAAAATTTCCACTGGTATTTTTAATCTAAGCAGAAACATTGGTGAAACAAAAGTTATGTGAAAAATTCTTTTCTCTTATGAAAGGATAACAATTCCATTTGAGGCTTGTTTTTTTAGCTATTTCTTTAAATCGTATTGTATCGTAACTTTGTTCTCAAATATTTTTCTCAAGTCACCTGTTGAGTGATTGAATAATATTTATTTCAGTGCTTGGGACAGCTAGGCCGAACCAGAAATAGTGAACATTGTAAAGTGAAGTGCCCACGATAGTAGTTGAAAGAATTAGGAAAGGATACCAATCTATTCAAAATTCCTTATTGTAAAAGAACCTCTATGAATGAAAAATATATTAAATTTATATTGAAATATATTTAATATATTGAAATTTACGAAATATATTATTTTTATTAAAACTTTTTTTATTTTTATTATTATTATTTATTATTTTATTATTATTATTTATTTTATTTTTATTAAAATTTATCATTGTAATATTTCTCATTATCTTTTTAAGTTTAAATCTTCAAAGAAAATATTTTAAATTTATTTCTAAATTCATTAAATGTAAATTTATTATGAATTAAATGATATTAAGACTGGTTTATTATTCTAAATATATGCTTATTTGGCCATTATTAACCATAATTGGTTGGCCGAATAGTTGTTTTCTTTAGATTATCGTCTCAGTTATCAAGATTTGGCCCCGAAGTACCACACCTAGGAGTAAATCTATTATTAAAATAGTCTAGTTGTAACAACGATCTACATCTCTGCATTTCGAGCTATCGCCAAGTGACTTTAAATCAAATTAAATTTTTAGATAAATAAATATAAATTTGTTTCTTAATTAAATATGAATGAAAAAATTTTATACTTTTTGATTATGATAATCGTGGAAATTTTAAGAATTAAATTATCAGTTAATCACTAGTAAAAATTTCTAAAAAGAAAAAAAATTCTAAAAATACATTTCTATTATCATTATTGGTCTTTCTATTTTAAATATTTTATTTCAAAATTTCATCATTTCTTATATAATTTGCTAAATTTTCTCAACTCTTTTCTTATCATAGAAATTTATCACTACTGTGTAACTGAAGGTCAATTGTCTATAAAATGAAACCAGATTAAAATTGGGGATCCATTAATATCGTCAAGCAACTCTTATTGGCCAAAGTAAGCAAACAAACCACAAATAATAAGTTTTAGAAGAAGAATTAGGGTACTTTTAAAGCATATAATATGAATTCGAAGTTATTTGATAAATATTCAAGTTCAAGCGCACCACTGAATAACATTGAAGGTCACCAGTTAAGTAGAACTCGGCATCATAATATTTAAAATGGTATTTTAGCCAATATTTGGCCATATTGGCCATTACAGTATCCAATAATCTAAACATTTATCTGAAATTGTACATTATAGATGAATCAATCATTTGACAGCAATCATCATGGAAAAGAAAAAATTTCATGATTCAATGAAGAACGAATGATATGAGTACCAGGACAAAATAGTATTGTTTGCTTGCTTTCTATTTTTGCGCACAAATTTTCGTCAATTATTCTTATAATTCTTATTCTCCTTCTAATAATTCGTATCATCGTTAAACTGGTTCAACTGGCTATAAGGATAAGGCGTTTCCAAGCTACTCAATCCAGTTCTACACTTGACAGTAATAGAAACCACAATTATGTTTTCTTCGTTTAAGCTCATAGATCACTCGGCCATTTAAACATTCAGAATCTTTTCTGATTGCATCAGTCCAGATCTTGATTGGTCCTCCTCGCTTTTGACACCATCCATCATAGGGTTTAGCAAACAATACTATTTTGTTCTGGTACTCGTATCATCCATTCTCCATTTAATCATCATGAAATTTTTAGGACATAGGAAATAATGAAAATATGTGTCAACTCTTGTTATAGATGGCGAAGAATATAAGATATATGGCCTACTATTTGCTAGGTCAATTTTCAATTCTAAATCTCATTTGAATGGAATTCTATTGCGAATAACTAGAAGAATACTCTACCTTTGTTTTTTGCGTGAATCACTATAAAAAAAATATTTGAAAAAAATTTAGCTCTAATAAATAAAAATACCCCGAGAATAGGTTTATCAGGACTTTATCTGTTTTATCAGTTTTGACTATGATAATTATGATACTATGATAATTCTGAGCATTTTTCGGTATATAAAAGAAAAAAGAACCAGAGTGCATAATTGAAATCATTTCGCTTTGCCTAAAACTGGTATATTCGAATTATTATAAAAGAAAAATTATAAATAAATGTGGATATAATATAATGAAAGAGGAGAAAGAGGAGAAGGAAAAAGAAGAGAAAAGGAAAAAAATGAAAAAGCATGCATGTAAATATGCAATCGTTCGCCGTCATTGCATGACGACACACTGCGGCTGAAATGCCCTAATAAATTTATCCTAATAAATTTATCGCAGAAATTTCATTTAAGTGTTTATTTATAAAATTTGCTGAAAAAAAAAAAAATTTGAATTTTTTCAAAAAAAAATTTTCTTTTCATACAAATGGAAAATCAAAAGATATTTTATTCTAAAAAAAAAAATTTTTATTTAAATTTTATATTTAAATTTATTTTTTATTTTTTATTTAAAAGAAAAAATTTCATAATTTTTTAATATTTCTTGTTGTATAATATTTTTAACATTCAAAATCGATTTTTGAATTTTAATATTTCAATATATTAAATAAATAAGTAAAGTGGTTACCGTAGCCCAGCCATTTCTTGCAAATATTTATCAATGAATCGTCTGGCAATAGAAGTATAGTGGGGTTGGCCGCTAGCATTATCGAGATTTTACTGATAGGCTTATAGGCTTATGGCTTATGAGAAGCAAAAGCCCCAAACCTTCGCCTCTCAACGGAATAATCTGAACCGCTCGGCTATCCTTTCCACCAATTAATTTTATCGCTGAATTCGATTTCACTTTATTATTTATTTATTTCTATTGGTTTAATAAATATATTTTATTTTTTTATTAAATAATTATTTCATTATTTTCTTCGTCTAAATAATTATTATAATTCACTTAGCATTTATTTATTCGAAAAGAAATATTCGTTCACTAATCGTTGATTTAAATAATTTATTTCTCTAATAATTTTTAATTTTATTTTTATTATTATTTTCGTTTTTTTTTGCCTTATTTAACTTATTTTAATTTAATTTTAATATATTTTTTAGATTTTCAAATTTGAAATTTATTTCTATTTTTTATTAAATTGATGAATTTTCACTGAAAAAAAAAAAAAAATAAAACGATGAATAAGAATGTAAATAATATATATAATCGTTAAGAATATATTTTTTAGATTTTCAAATTTGAAATTTATTTCTATTTTTAATTAAATTGATGAATTTTCACTGAAAAAAAAAAAAAATAAAACGATGAATAAGAATGTAAATAATATATATAATCGTTAAGAAGAATGGAAAAATATTAAAATATTTTCGGATTCGTTTCATCATTTATTTTTTTTATTTATTATTATTTCCATTTTGAATTTTTCTATTAATTTTTTTTTTTCCTTTCCATTGAAAATTTTTAAATTCTTTATTGTCATCAGTTTTGATGTAATTTTTCTATGAATTTCTCTTGATAAAATACCATTATTTCTTTGATAATTTTATAAATCTTTTATCGTTTCTTATCATTTGTCTTTAACTACTATTTTATTGTTCATTTGTAATATATATTTTAGTCTTTTTTTTTTCTATTATCACTATCATTATTTAAATTGATTTTATAAGATTATTGATTTTTATATTAATAAACTGGAAAATGGTTTTTATCGAATTCCTTTTTTTTGATAATTTATTATGAAAAATACTGTGGAAAATAAATATGAAGGTTTTCATGGCAGAATGATAATCGTGTTAAATCCTTTAGCTATGCAGCTTCTTGAGCGTAATTAGGTCGCTAGCTGGCCTAAATCTGGATCTCATTCCTAACGACAGGTTTGGAGCTAAGATTGAAATTGCTAAAACTGAACCCGTGCTGCTTGTGATGATTAGTCGAAGTAATATATTCAGTCAGTGAAGATATTTTTTCCGACGGGCCGCAATCTATTGACCAACCGACCACGGCTTTCTTTTTGCATCATAGTGCGCACGCGGCATTAATTTTTCGTCTTGCGTTGTGACTTTTGTGCTAATCGAATTGTATTGTTCAGCGGAGGGTGGGATTAATGTTGGGACCTGTTTTTCCACGGTGCATCCTCATAGTCTTCTTGTAGTTTTGGTTGACTGACCGGTATTAATCCTGGTCCCTGGTTTCGAAGAGTCCCTAGTTTCCCTTTAAAAATTAGATAGGGAAGGATTATTTCGTAAAAAAAAGTATATAATAGATTTTTTTTAGGTTCAAAAATTATATAAAGGGAAGGAGCGAAAGTTTCGCTAAATTTTGACTGCATTAGTTTTCACTTAATTTTTATTGTTTTTCTTCTAAGATGCCTATCATTTCCGGTTACTTTCGCTCCGCTATGTTCATTTGTCTAATTAGAGTTTTAAGTTTTATCGGAAAGTTTGGTATTTGGTAGTTGAAAATGGATCTTAGAGTATTAATTCTGCGTTTAACTGCGCTTAAGTGCGTTTTTAGACGATAAATGTGTCTTTTTCCATAGTAGAAACGTGCATCCGAGCAATAACCCGCTAAGGCATTTTGCTCCAATTTTTATTTTTATGGTTTCATAAATTAATTTGCGGTTTTTTTATTTCTTATTTATTTATTTATTTTTGTTTGATTTTTATATATTGAAAATGAGGTTAATCGTTTTTTTTTAAATTTGTTGTTGCAATTATTTAAATTATAATTATTTTTTTTAGATTCAATCATTTATTGTGGATTATTGATTATTAATGGCTGACGGTTACCAAGTTCAAACGAACGGAGAACGAATGATGAACGTTGATCATAAACCACTACTTGAATTATATGTTAAAGTAATTTTTTAAATTTCCAAATTTTTAAAGTAATTTATAATAATTTTATAATTTTTACATTTCTAAATTTTATTGTTGAAATGAAATTCAGAATGATAGGTGAATAATCTCACATCTGATTTTCTTGTTATTTGGCTTTAAAACGTTTAGGTTATTCTTATTCTTTAGCACATTTACAAGGAACCTTTACAAGTTATTTGTTAAAACGAGATTTTGTTGATAACGTTATTGAAACGTTGTTGAAAATGATTAATAATTTATAAACGTCATTATAATTTCATAAAAATTTCATGTTGTGGAGAGTGGAACGGCTTGTTATTAAATTCGGAGCGCTAATGCTATTTCATTCCCTGTAGGAGTAAACCTGTCCGAAATTCCTGGCGATTCATCTATCACCAAAAGCCTCCCTGGCATATTTGTCTAGTGTGACAAGTTAATGGAGCGGGTCTAATCAGTAATGGTGAGGGCTTTCTTAGAAATTCCATTTTGTGCAATTTTAAGGCTTCTGGAATAGAAAATCGTCGAATTGGAGCTTGCCTTTTCTGCCAAGAATTTTGGATGGAATTATATGCTCTTTATGAGATTGGCGTTGTGCGTGTTGAAGTGAAGACGGTTAATGTAAATTCAGAAGCATTTAAAAAAAGTTTTCTCGGTGCACAACCACCAATATTAATCGAAGACAAGTGAGTTATTGCTTATTTTGTATAACCAACCATCCAATAGTCTTTAAAATTTATTGATTTGTTAAGCGTCTTATTGAAAAAAAAACCGTAAAGTCTAATAGAATCTAATGGAATATGCTTTATTATTATTACTATTATTATTTATTATTAGTATATAATATTATTTATATAATATTTCAGAGATAAAACATATACGGATAATCGTGAAATTGAAGGTCGTATTTTTCATTTGGCGAAAGAATTTCAGATTCCATTATTTGAAAAGGATCATATTGTCGAAAAAACTATCGAAAGTCTCTACAGAGTGCGTTGAAAATTTTGAAATTGGATTTTTTTGCGAATTAGCTCCAAAATTGATTGCGTTGAAAATTTTCAGAATTTTAAATTGTTCTTACGTGCAAAAACCGAATACGATAAAGGAAAGAAAGTTCCATCTCCAGTAGAAAGTCTTCCGTCTCAACAAGCAGCACCATACAATAAACTAGTTGAGCAGTTGACAAACATCGATGAGGTTAGTCCATATTTAGGGATTAAAGCCGAATACCTACGATAGATTTCAAGAAAGCAATCACCAATTTTTTATAAAAAGAGTTTGTGTAAATTACAGAGAAATTTTTTTAGCTTCTAAGACAACGTAACACTCGTTATTTATTGGGTCAGAGCATGACAGAATACGATTGCGAATTGATGCCACGCTTACACCATATGCGTATTGTTGGTCAGCGACTGCTTGGATTCGATATTCCACATAATCTAACATATTTATGGAATTATGTGCTTACCGCTTATCGTACTGCTGCTTTCATTGAAAGTTGTCCGGCTGATCAAGATATTCTTCATCACTACAAGGTTTTTTGCAAGTTTATTTCGTAGATTTTATGAAATATCGATCACTGAGGTTTTAAATAAATTAATGGCTATATGGTGCAAGTAAAATTTGGAGATATAAACAAAATTTTTTAATGGCAATGAATTGCAGATTTTATGTACATTATATGTATATATTTAAGTCTGAATTTATATACTTTTATATATTTATATATTTAATGTATATGTAATGTATATATATATATTTAAGTCCGAATTGTCAGATTGTTTTTTCTAATTTTTAATATTCATGTTCAGGAACAGTTAAATTTGATTACAAATCTTCGTGAAACTTTACAAGCACCGACGAAAACGCATACGATTCCAGAATCAGTGCTTGATGATATTCAGCGATTAGTTCATGTTCCTAATTGAACATTGACGTTGTGCTTTTGCTTTTTGAAAATGAATTTTTGTTTCTGTGATTTTTTGATCTTTATTGAAATTATTTTATCAGCTGCAACTTGATTTTTAAGTCAGCAAAATCGATTTTGAAATTTTATTAGGAAATGTTTTTAAATAATTTATCACTGGCTAAATAATTAAAATTTAAAAAATTTAAAAAGTTTAAAGGTATAATTTTTCAATCAATTTTATTAGGGCCTTTATTAAATTATTAGGCATGAAAAATTTTTTCCCATATTCTGCTTAATTTGGCTTCTAATTGGACTCGTTATTTTATTATTTCATGCATATTACGAATTGCCGTTTTTATATTAATACAGTGATATTATTTTTATGGAAGTACTAAACGATATTTGTATAATTTTTGTTCTTTGACTGTTATAAAAAATACAACGTCGATATTTTGTGGCTTTCTAAGAAAATTATATAAATCATATCTAAATTTATTAATTATTGCTGGGCTTTATTATCACGATCTTGTGCCAGATTTTTTATTTTATGCTTCAATCGAAATTTTTTTGTCACTTTTTTCATTTTTTCGAAATTTCTTCCCTTCTCACTTCGTTTTTTTTTTTGATTTTTTTGACTTGTCTATGAAAAAAATCTGTTGTATTGCTCATCTTTTCAAGTAGTCTTAATTTAAGCTATAGTAGTTTCGTTGATTATTTTTTAAAAGAATGGTGGCAAATAAAGGGGTTTTTTTCATTCAAGGCGAAGAATTCTTCATTGCCTTTTGTTTTTTTCAGCTATATTTCATTATTTAAATTTTATTCTTCCTTTCAAGTTGTATATTTTAGAATGATAAGAAAGATTTCTAAATTTTTTTTGGCTCTAAAATGTTCAAATAATTTTATGAATCGTTTTTGATGATGAATTTTTCTTTTTACTTATTCAATTCAATTTATTAGGTAATTTTTTTGCGAATGTTTTTGATATTTTAAAATATTCGATGGAAAAAATGAAAAATATTTTATGAAATTTTCTTCTTTACTTTTATTATTTTATTATTGATATTATTTTTTTTAAAAAGGAACTGTCGTAAATTTGGATAAAAAATTTTCATAAATTATTCTCCTGCTATTTACTGATGGTTATTTATTCGAAATAATTAGAACCAGCTAGGGAAGAATATAAATTAGGAAGAAGATTGAAAGAGGGAAAGTGGAGTGTTTCGGTGAGACGGACGAATTGCGGGGAATACGATAGTCTAAATTGCTAACCGATCGGCTATAATCACCCACAATACCTGCAAAATGCAAAAGATTTTATTGCTATCATAATTTTTTATAATTGAATGGAATTTCGATGATTTCAAGGAGGGTATGCCGATTCAGTGCGCTATTCACTTTGTATCTTAATTTAGTCTGATAAATTCCGGATTTGTGGTCTGAATTTCCGGATATGTGGCACTGCATTTTGCTTATATAAAATTACAAGATTTGTGAAGTGATGAACCGGGCTGATGTTGGGAGTGCCATAAAATTTCTATTTCTAAAAAAAAATCTGGTGAAAAGGCCAATCAAACACGAAATAGTTGGATGTGAGGAAAAAAAGATCAAGAAAGGAGTATTTCTTTGAAATTTTTCATACATTTCATATCATTAGTGTTAAATTAAAATTAAATGAATAACTTAAAATCGAAATTATTTAATAGCTATTTTTTTGAAAAAAATTCAAAACTTGCAGAAAAAAGAATTTTTTTTTCCTTATCAAAACGCATAATCACACTGCATTCGTTGATTGCAATAACATATGGTTGTCTAAATTTGATAAGAATTTTTCCATGCTACTAAATTTATAGAAAAATAATTCAGTTATTTTCGAAAGAAAATTTACAAAAATTATTTTTCATTACAAAATAAAGTTCTTTTTCTACAAAAAACCTAGTTTTTTTTCTTAGGAACTGACGCGAAACGCTTTCATATTTCATAAATAATTTTGATTTTTTATGAGAATGATTTCGCGTTTCTTCACGAACAATTTATCCTCTCTGTAAACAATGGTACTAACGATGGTGCTAACTTTATTCGCAGATTTATTTAAATCTATTATTATTATTAAATTTATTATCACTAGTTTTTAAGTTAAATGTATTTAATGGCTAAATTAAAAGAGATCTTTGAGGTAAAAGAGGTTTTTTAAAAATCAAAACTAGTAAAAGAAATCAATGCGATTTGCGGTTTTTAATCATTTTATTATCATCAAGTGTTTACTAATGATTGCATATGATAAGATCATAAAATATTTTATTGCTAAAATATGTATGATCAATCTATCTTAAATATTAGAGAAAAGAATGTACTTATCCTTTGGTATTTCCTTTGCTTATGAAGGCATTCGTTAAAATTTTATTTCAATTATTTCCTTTGCATACCATTTTTTTATACTTCTATCTTCTAAGCTGATTCTGTGAAAAAAAAAAAAATCTCTACTGATAACCAGTGGAATGAACTTAAAAACCGGAAATAATTAGCGCTATCTGCTAATTAATCAATTGATCAATTGTTAAATTTTTGAATCACATAAAAATATATTTTATTTTAATGATCAATTAATTTTACTTTATTATCGCTAATTTCATGGAAATGGTGAGTAAGTTAAATTCATTTAAGGTGATATCAGAAAAAAAAAATTACATACATATTACATATGCACTTGTGGATAAAACCTTTACTTTATGAGGAACCCGTCGAGTTGGAATTCATTTACCAGTATATTTCTTAAGTAATTAGCAAATAGAATACTTAATTAATCACAGCCAACCTAATGTCAGTATAGAAAATGGAAATAATAAGCAGCTCAGTTCAATCTCAATCATTTACAATAGCGTTTTTCAATGTTTCGATTAACTTATTGACAATTTATGAAGTTTTTAGTGCTTTTTAGAGTTTACTTTAGTATTTTAATTTTTTACTTTAATAGAGTTCATAGTTCACGAATTCGAGAGCTTAAATCTCCAAAACTTTACTTCGAAATTGAAACTTTTATGTTTCAAAAATTAAAATTAATTTATCGGAGTTTTTTTTCAAAAAAGTACGATTTTAAATAAATTTTTATATTTCAGATCCAAAAACTAATAAATTAATTACATTTTCAAAAATTACAAAGTTAAAAAATTAAAATTACAGAAAATTAAAAATTAAAATAAAAATTGCAAAATAGTGAAACGTAAATTTCATTACAAAAATATTAGATTTTATTTAATTTTATTTGTGAGAAAAATTCTATTTATAAATTTACAATTAAAAATAATTTAATAATTATATTGTAATTATAATTATATAATTGTAAATTATGTTATTCTTTTAATAAATTATTTATAATTAAAAATATTATATAAATAATAAATTATTTGTAATTAAAAATAAATTTATAAATTAATAAATTTATAAATAAAAAAGGTAAAAAAAATAAAAATTCGAAATCAAATCAAAAGTATCAATTTAAAAAGTTGATAATCCTCCTTTATAATTTTATCAATAAAAGAATTCAGAAAATTCATCGTATAATCACCGCCGTTATAAAAATTAATTGTTTACGTTCATTATCGGCCGTTATTATATTATGTAACAAATATTAGTACAAATTTTAATGGTTGAAATTACATGAGAATATGGTTATTTCTATGTGCACTAAAGGTATAAACGACATAATAATCGAATGTTCTTTCGACTATGAAGGCTTTCGAGCCCTTAGATTATCTTTTGCCGTGGATGGATAGCTTGGAAGAGAATTGCTGAGTGCATTGTTGCTCAGTTTAGAGCGCCGATGCTGTTAAACCTATATAAAAATCCGGGTGATGCTGGCGACTCACCCAGATTTTTATCGCCAAGAGACTCCCTGGCATATTGCTTAATGTGTCAGTGGAGCGAGTTTAACCAGTAATGGTAAGTAGCTCTTATAGAATGGATGGATGGCTTATGTTATGAATCAAATATCCTAGTCCTGCATTAAAAATCTGCATCCACTTGCACTTCTAGTTAAAATAACTAAAATAATCTTATCATATTAACAACCAAGGGAGATCTAGCTAGCGATGAAGATAATCTGCTATAAAAAAATAAAATATAATGCTTGTAGTCAACCTGTAGACTTCTACTTCTAAGATGAATCGCTGATCTCTGACGAAAAAATCGTACTCTATTAGTTAAAAGCCATTTTCTTAACATAGAAAAAATTTAAAATTAATCTATTAAGCTCACTTATTCTCCTTTACTAGTTAGGCTGGACATAAGGATAAGATGCTTCCAAGTCATTCAATCTATGGCTGTCGCTGACAATAATAGAAGTCATTCCTTCATCCAGTCCACATATCACTGGTCCATACGGAGAAGATCAATGACCATGGTTGTTCTCTAAGGCTAACATCTTTAGAACGATTATAATTTATTCTCTAAGGATCACTTTTTCTAACAACTCTCACCATTATTAGTTAGGCTTGCTCTAGCGACTATAAGGGTAAAATGCTTCTAAGCTGCGCGGTTTGATGCCATCGTCAACAGTAATAGAAGCCATTCCTTTTTCCATCGTCTAAGTCCATACATTAGTGGTCCATCTATACGTTCAAAATCTTCCCTGACCGTCCAGGACCCACCTTGCTTTTTACACCATCCAGCATAAGGTTTAGCAAGTAACGAAATATGCTTCAATTCCTTTGGTGGGAGAAGAAAAACATACTCTAACCATCGAAGGCAACGCTCTGTGATTGTTAATAAGATTATTATGAAGGTGATGTTTGAACGAAGGTGGATGCGATGATATGATATGATGTGATATTTTATTCGTTCGAAGGACCCGTAAAGTCAAGATAAGAGTGGTTAAAGCTAGATAACTTCTTAATATCCTCCACTCTCATTGGCCATGACACATAGCAAGATCAAAATCACGGCTATATAGATGCGGATTTTCGTCTTTATGGTGATTTCACGACGACTTCATAAAGGTTTCGTCAACCGGAAGAATGCATTTCTCACTGCCGTAATCTAAGTTGTAATATCTTCTTTTATCTGGCCATTTCGTTAAAAGTGGATTTTAATTTGAAATCCAACGTAAAATCGAGTCCTTTCTCAATCGGCAATAAGTCTATAGAAAGGCATTTTATCATCTTCTTGTACATAAAACGAAAAGGCTTTCGATTTTTTTACATTCACTATGAGTCCGATTCTCGCTACAGTTGACACGTTATTTAGTATTATTTGCATTTCGTCATAATTATCAGCAAAAAGGACTACATCATCAGCAGTGTGATACGATATTCTGGATTGAATTGGATATCTCTTGAATGCCGATAAGCGATATCCATTATCCAGTTTATCGCGTAGGATAAAGGACACAACCTTGATGGACAACAGTTTTTATTTCGAAGGAGTCTGTCAGTTCCTCATATACACCCTGCGTCGGCGTACGTTCATAAAATGTCTTTATAAGTCGAATGTTCTTCTCTGGAAGACCATCGTTCTATCACTCTCCAAAGTGCTTTGTTTCGATGAAACACGTTACAGTGGATTGCAAATAGAAGCGAGCAATCTGAAGCGATGTTCCAATACTCTTTTTAACGGGAATATCTGGTCATCACGCTCCGGTCTGAATCCAGCTTGATTAGGCCGCACATCTATGGTGAAAGGGTCAGATATTCTGAGGACCACTACTGAAGATAAATCTATCCATTATAGCAATAGTATTATACATGAGTTTACAGATAATCGAGTTAAAAACATGATACTTTAATCTTCACTTAAATTACTGTCCATCATTCCTATCGCTCTATAGAAGACTTACGTGGAACTCAATGAAATAAAAAACGATTTTCAAAAATTAACAATTAAAAATTTTTTATTAAATGGTTTTATGGTAAAATCAATGTTTTCTCTTCATCCATCCATCCTACAAATTTGTTTTCATATAAAGTATCACAGAAAAGATATTTTGGCATATTCCCAGAAAAACCTATTTTTCTTTATATGACCTAATGGTTCTCCTCCTTTTTTAAGGACCACTTCTCGAACATTTTCGTATCGCAGCGCAACATCATTTGATAGTCATTTCTGATTGAAGTTAATTTAATATGCCAAAAGTTAGAGCTGAAATAAAAATACAATAAATGATTCCAGAGGACCACTTGAATTTTTTTAAAATAGCCTTAGTGATACCACAATGATCGTGCCCAAGGTATTATGCTCAAATTGAAAACGGCCACATGCCTTAAAGCAAATTGCTGTTTTTATTATTCTTTAAAATATAATTTTCTAATCTCTAAAAATTTTTATCATTATTATTCATTTATCATTATTATTTTATTGTAAATAAATTATAGAATAAAATTAGTGATCTTTCTAAATATTAGAGATTATCACTTTATGAAGTAGTAAATGTTTTAATGATAAGGAAATGCATAAAATGTTCGTTAAAAAAATTGAAATCATTAGGAAAAGCGATCAAATAATCTTCATTTCTTTTTTAGAATAATTTTATAAAATAAATTAGGTTACTGTCAAAATAATTCTTTTATTATTTGTTAATTCTGTATTTGCTTAATATGCTTAATTAATAATGGTAATAATAATATAAAAAATGTAAATAATAATGCCTAAATATTATATTTACATTCAGAAGTGGGTTCAAACTGATTGAACAGTTGTTTGATTATATTTAGTCATTTTATTTCTATACAATAAATTCATTTGAACTTTGAAATTGATGTAAAATTCGATCTCTATTTTTGATAATTAAAGGGAATGATAAGTTTCGTGCGTATTATCTTTTGAGATAGTTGATTAATGATAAAAAAAACCAGTTTTAAATGACAAAATTAGGCGGTATTCGAGGTAAAATAAATAGCTACTGGAAAACATCGTTCTTCATATTTTCCTTTTGATTGCCTTTTTTTCCGTTCATCGACGATATTCTTTATTAATAAGTAAAGGCAAGGGTAGAATGAGTAGCGAGATTAGAAACCCATATAGCCTTAAGCGATATTCTGGTGAATATATTTTGCCCCACTAATAGCTACCAGCAATTATTTATATAGCAGGATACCTAGTTCCATAGATCATATTTAAGCAATGATCAATGATAAAGAACAATTCCAATTTCATCTTTCGTTTATTATCCTTTTATTTTTATCACTTTATTATACGAACCATCTTGATTTTATTTCAGAATAATTTCGTGTTTTTATAAGTTCTTTCAGTGGAATAATTCAAAGTTTTCTCCATATGTTTTTCAACAAATTTATAAAAAAATAGAATTTTAGAAATCCAAAAATAAATATTTTACGGAAAATAATGAAGCGGATGCCATATTCATTTCAAAATCTTCCTTCACTTTCTGATGACAATCAAAAATTTTACAATAATGCGCCAAACGCTGAATCTCGATCATTAGATGGTTCTGTTTCCTTACTGATGTAAGTTAAAGTTTTAAGCTTATTTTAACTTAAATCTGATGTCTCATCTGATAAAATTTAGATCTTATCAAAACTATCGAACTTAAAATTATCGAAGTGATTTTTTTCTAGGAAAAATTGCACGAATATAATATATAGATTTAGTTTATAATAGCATTTGATCAAAAAACTATTGAAAATTTCACAGCCATTTGCTCATTATTAGGAAATTTATCATCATTCTCTAATCAATCATTCAATTCGTTATCATTTAGCCAAAATACCACAAAAATATGATTAAATCCACGTTAATTTTTCTAAAATCATTGAGTTAATTAAAAAATTAATTAATTATATTAATAATTAATTATATATACTATATTAATTAAAAAATTTTCGTGAATTATTTTCTACCTTTGGCATTAAGTAAGCCTTTTAGTAAATCGAGTGGTGCTAGGGATTTAACTGTATTTCTACCACTCTCTCTGACTTAAAAATCTCACTCTAACAGCAAATATAGCAAATCAGAAATAAAAGGCGACTAATTATTAGCCTGTTTTTGAATATTTTTATTATAATGGTATGGTTCTTTTTAGCCCAACGAATTGCTATGATCAGAGAGATGATAGCACATTATCCATTTTGAATCGACGCAATTTAACAAATAAACGGTGATTTTTTTTTGGCTTATTTTAAAATTAATGGATTTACTGGATTTTATTAGATTTTAAAGAATAGTCCTGAAATTAGGAAATAATAAAACAAATCGATCCGAATAAAAATAGTCATTAGTCATCTTTTAAAAAATAGTATTCACCGCTTTAGCGAAAATAAAAATTAAAACAATAAAATTGTCAGAGTCGAATTTGGAAAAAGAAAATTTTTTTCGGTTTTTATGATCATTGATCATCTAAAATATTTCGATTTCTGAAACCTAAAGAATTTATATTCATCGAATTGACATTTATGATTAGTATTTAATAATGTTATTAGTATTTGATATAGTATTTGTAATTTTCGTTTTGAAATGGTGAATGGTGGAATGGTGCAATCAAATTTGGTAGTAGCATTGACAAAAATATTTTTAACATTATAAAAATACATCTATAAATTTTTTAAATATAATTTTAGCGGTAGTATTGTTGATGAAATGAAAAGTATAAAGAGTCGAGCATCACATTTAATAGTTGAAGTACCCGTCGAACAACTTAGAAAATTCGCAAAAACTGAGGGAATGAATTCATTATCGCGAGAGACTCAGCATTTTGTAGGTATATTTTTTCATCAATAGTAATCTCTGTAACAATTCATTCTTAAGACAATATTCCTGAGCGCAATTCAATACATCTCCTTTAAAAACCAAAAGAAAGAATGGTTATCTTAAAAATAATTTCAAGCAGCTGTGAGTTGAAGAAGGTAAAATAACTCAGTGGATTACTAGCTTTATTTATCTGGAAGCTCTTATGCGATTAATCTTCTGGAAATAAATGCATCTTTTTCAAATGGTACTGGTAATATATTTGTTATGAGGCGATGGTTCTCTGGCAAAAACTATCTGATCCAATAAGCAACTCTTTTTCTTTTTATAAATCGTAAATGGAAAAATTTGATAAATTTAGATTAGTAAGATTAATATTTGAATGACAAAATATTTATATCTACATTTACATTTACTTCTATCTTTTTTACTATTATAATTCGAGGCCAACTGTTTTTCTAAAGATATTTAAAATTGTATTTTCATATTTTCTAGGAATATGTACCATGCATGGGCCACTAAGAGTTTATAGAGGTAAATCATATTCTCGATGGTTTTGGACATCAACTGTTACTTTATCTATTATATTACTACTCTTTCAAGTATCAACACTTCTAGAAATTTATAATTCGAGGCCAACTGTTTCACAAGTAATTAATCTTATTTTTTAATATTTGCAACTAATATTGGCATATAGCTAAATTTAACTACACGATTGTGGCCACTAATAATTCGATCTTTGCCTCTCGAAGAAAATTTCTCTGCGGCTATTTACGAAAAAGCCATCTAATTCGCCAAGCTATATTATTAAGAATATTAGGTGAAGAATATTAAGTGAAAAATTTTTCTATTATTTACTTCTATCTTTTTTATCTTATCTTTTTTACTACTATCCTACTTGTTTTTCTTGATTTTTAATAAAATACCTGAGATTTGAAATTTTAGGTACTTTTTTTATTGCCTGAAAATGGTTTAATATTTCCTTCTGTAACGATTTGTAACTATAATCCGATCAGAAAATCATATGTTGATAGTAAGTTTTTGAATATTAAATAAATAATTATAGAAATTGATTTAAAAAAAATGCTAGGAAATAATTTTCTTTTATGGATAATATTTTATTAAAAGTTAGTTTGATCATCACAATAAGCTCTAATGTTTGCTTATTTCGTTCTTCTTATCACTCTTATCAGTTCGTTTCTATTTAAATATCATTTGTAATTTTCTTTCTAATCAAATTTCTTATTTCTAATCAAATTCGCAAACGAAATAAGGGAGTGAATTTTAATGCTTATTATTTAAGTTCATTTTTTTTTACATTGGCAACAAATCGAGATAATATATTTTTTAATGGAACAATATCCAGAAGTGAGCTTAATTTAGTTTTATGTACAAAAGATTCTGAAAAAAGTAAAATTGTCTAAAAATTTATTCCTTTTCAAATAAAATACTTTTGAGATGTTGTCCGATTGCCTACTAATTTAATAATTGGATAATCACTTCAAGGATAATTCTGTTAGCCGCCAATCCTGGCAAAAATTTAGCCATACTTGCAATGAGATATTGTCGAAAGAACAAATCGATCTGGCTAGAATAAAAAATTAAGATTCAAAAAGATTCCCTCTTTCGGAATTCAGAATTCTTTTATTATATATATGGTATCATCTAATTAGTAATTATAATATCTAATTATGTTATGATAAAAATCGGTCGAGAGATTTTTTGGTCATTTCAAGTATCATGATTTAGTCCACGCCATGTCAATAGTATGTGGCTAAAAATAGTAAACTAAAAATTCTTTGGACTTATCTGTACTTCTATCATCAAACGACTCCCTGACAAAAGTTCCACCCTCTGGTAACCGATAGAACGACTCGAACCGGAAATTGTGGATCCCAACCACTAAATAGCATATTGCTATCGATATGATATTGAACTATTTGCCAGATTTGAAAAACAAAGGTTATTTATCACAGACTGCTTTGGATTATATAAGTCAGGCATATGCAGAAGTTGAACAACTTTATGATAATGCAAACGTGAGTGATTTACGGCAAGGTCATAACGCATTTACGAGAATTAATGGCGCATATAATTTTTCGATCAACGAATTCTTCGAAGATGCTGGGTTAGCAAGAATTTCTACTAATATTTTCACTTCAACATGATAAAATTTAAAATTTTTAATGATAAAAACTTATCAGCTTAAACTTATCAGCATCTTTAATGCAATACAATTTTTAAATAAATAATCACTTCTAATTTAATCTAAATAAATAATCTAAATTTAAATAATTTTATGAATATCGTAATTTAATCATTTATTGCTAGGCAACATGAACGTGATGCACCTTGAACTTTATCATTCTAATTATACCTTTCATTAAGAGCGAAATCCAATAATTTATTCGCATCTATAGCAGATCTATGACTGTATTTCTCAGCATGTATCTCTCTGGCAAAATAGTCTAATTGCCAATGGAACCAACCAAGTCAAAAATTTTATTCGAAGAAAAGAGAGGAAAAGAGATTTTTAATGTTCCCCTAAAATTGTGAAATCTAGAAGAAATGTATATGTGTATTATAGTTTTCCATGTGAAGAAATGTTAATGCTCTGTTCATTTGGTGGACGTTATTTTGATTGCTGCAAATATGCTAAAACGACACTTACCACTTTGGGTAAATGTCAACAATTGCATTTAAGTTCATCAAGCGATCAGTGGATGCAAAGGCAAACTGAAGCTGGTATAGATAATGGGTAAAAATTTTTTTCCATTGTAATTATTAACATGAATTACGGTAATTTTGCTATGATAACATTAACTGTCTTCTAACTTTATCTATCACTTTCGAATGACTGCCGATTTTCGCAAATTTTTGTCATTTTCATTATTTATCAATATTACATAAATAAATAAAATGATTAAGCACAAGTGAAAGAAATTAGAAAATCTCAGTGGGTTGCTAGTCTCATTTCGGATCAGAAATGCTGGGATTTTATTTCCGATTTTTTGCCATTTTATTTGCCATTCTCAAGCTCAGGTGAGACTGGCAGCTGGCCGTTCATTTGCACTTTAATCAGCAAGCACTTTAATGATTGTTTGATAAGATTTTTCTGGTGCAGCAAGTCAGTGAAAGTGTTATAAAAAATTGGTGAGAGCTCTTGGAAAAAAAAATTTCCTTCATTTTAATCTTTTCTTGCAATCTACAATTAATACAAATATAAACTTAAGTTACGATAATTGTATTAATTTATTTTATTACTAACCTTGATATACTATATACTAACTTTCAATTAATCGTTCTGAAGCTTTTCCATTAGGTATAAAAATAAGTTAAATTAATGAAAATTAAAAAGAAGTATCATAGCTAACTTCGCCGACTATTAATACGGTTAGAAATTTTCTTCAAATATTATGGACATATAAGACGCCACTCAGATTTTTTAAGAACAAGCTTATGCCAGTGAATTTAAGGAATTGAACCTGTAATTACCACTTCACTTCACCATCACTCCACCACTCAGTTATGCTTTAGATCCAGAATGCCTAAATACAAACAACAAATTTCGTGCTAATTGGGCTGAAAAATTAATAGAGCTAATTATTTAAATCTTTTAGCTTGCAAATTATCGTGGATTTTCATTCAGAAGAATTGTTGGGGAGAGAAAATGGAGGTATTTTTTCTCCCCATTAATTTTACAATTTGGATTTAATTTTAAAATTTGGAAATATTAAAAAATCTTAACGAATTTTTTTGATGAAAAAATAATTTTAAATAAAAAAAATTTCTAATGAGATCGAGTTTTATTCAAAAAAATTAAATTGGTGCTGAAAAACGTATACGTATAATGGATCTAATGGGAAAATCGTATTTCCACATATTTATTTAGCGCCAATGATTTCATTTGACTTCAGAAGACCAACCATATTTTTCAAATGGCATAGAACATGGATTTCGATATTTCGTACATGAAGCAGATTCAATAGCATATTTGTCAGCGGAAGGTATTAGCGTATCCCCAGGCTATCGTGTCTACTCAGCAATTACTACCAACAAAGTAACACTATGGCAAACACTATACTTCTTTATAGATAAACTTTTTTTTTCTAAAGCATTTCTGCACCTTAAATTCACCTTAGATAAGATGAATTATTGAGATAAGATTTTTTGGCCAAAGAATTATTTGTGGCTAGAAAATTTAGATGACTGTTTCGCAGTATCGTTTGGACGACTATACTCGTCAAGACCATTAACTAAACGATGGTGCTTAGGTAGTTCAGTAGACTATATTAGCTATGTTCCCTCTGCTGTAGCTTCTTCTTTTTCTTCTCACTTCTTACCATTACTGGTTAGGCTGGCTCCAACGGCCACAATGATAAGACGATTCCAAGCAGCGCAGTCTGACATAAAAAACTGATTCATATAACCGAATATAAAATTTTATATTGCAGTTTTTATTATTAGAAAAAAAAAACTGGGGTGGATGTATATCAAAATGGCCAGAAGGATATGAAACTAAACGGCCATATTCCGCATCGAAATGTAAAGCGTTATGTCGTGCAAAATATTTTTACGACTATTGTAAATGTAGTCCATTTATCTATAATATTGATGGAGGTTTATTGCTATTTTAAATTGATTTTTTTCATTAATTTGTCGAATTTTTTTTTTTTTTAGATCAATTTAATTAATTATTAATTACTTGCAGTTTTAAAAAAATTTTGAGGATTTGGGGATTTCTGGAGTTTCATAGAATAGATTTTCGGAGAGCTGAGGATTTTTGGAAATTCAAAGGGCACCAAGATCTGAATGATAATTAGTGGACGAAAATTTTTTATCAATATTGAACACTATTAATATGATTTCTTGGTTCAACATTTATAAATATTTAAATAAACATAAATATTTGAATATATAATAGTTATTATTTCAGCATATAAAGTCTGTTCACCGTATGAAATCTATACATGCATCAAAAAAATAGAAGGTAGAAGATTCTTTTGGTTTTTTAGCTCGTCAAATTTAGAACTGGAAAAATTTTTTTGAAAAATTTTTCTTTTTCATTTTCAAATATCTATTTACTTTTTTTATAATTTTATTAATTTGTTTGTTTTTCTTTTGTTAATTTTGATAACATTTCAAAGATATTTTGAGAAATGAACTCGATTTTTTGTTAAAATTTTATTATTTTGATATTTATAAAATTTTATTTCTCTTATAAGTTATAAAGTTGAATTTTATTTTTTATATAGTAGTTAGTCTTTTATTTTAGAATTTCGAAATTTTTAAAAATTTTTTGGTCAAAAATTAGAAAATAAAATTAAATTAAAAATAGAAAAATGCTCTTTCTTTTAATTCATTCTGATGTAAGCATAAATTCAATTTAATTTAATTTTAACCTAATAATCCCTTTGAAATTGGTGAACATTGTTCTTTTTTTCTAAGAGCGCTTATCACTTCTGATTAGATAAGAGATGTTTTGCTGGCTTGTCGGATTTGACAAATTTTATTAAAGAATCATCACTTATCATCATCGCGATACAAGTTGTTTCAGCGGTACCAAATCATTTTGAATACGATGAAGAAATTTTCCAGTAGATTTAGACTTTTTTCATAATATTTGCATGCATTTTCGATAATATATTAAAAACAATAAGTATTAATACTAAAATAGATTATTATGAGAGAATTAGAATGTGATGAGATATGAAGGTCACCAATGTAAAAAAAAAGGAAAGAAACAAAATATTGTGAGGAAAAAAGGCTTCAATAAGAAAGGAAATTCTACTTAATGAAAATATCTTTGAGATGAAAAGTAGAGGATCTTTCTTTTCAAAAGTTGAGATAAGCTTTTAAGGAATTGTAAGCCCATTAGGAAAATAAAAATGATTTGCAATCGTATAAGCGATAAATTAAAGCAACCGAAGTTCGAGAATATTCCGGTGCATTTCCAATCATTCTTCCTCTTCTAGCAGCCCTTATCGTTAATAGCTTTGCTAGTTCCACTGGTGACTAATACCAAGCCTATTGTTATCAATTCTAATCATAGGCGTGCTTAGCATTCCGCTTCGTTCCAAATTTATACTTTAATATATTTATCTTTAATAAAGTTTTTGTCGCTAATCCAATCGTCGATTTGTTAATTTATTATCAGCATTATCAGCATTATTATTAATTAGGCGTTTTTCAACTAAAATTTTATTTTTTAATTTTCACAAAAAAATTCGAAAAAAATTGAATTGAATTAAAAAAAAATTTTATAGATGAACTTGGCCACGCTTATACCTTACCAAAGTGCTCAGAATGCATGGTTGAATGTGAAAGTTGGGAATTCCATGCTTATAATTCTTATGGTTATGGATTTTCAAATGGAGCTGTTAGATGGCTTAATAGGCGAAATGAAAACTGGACCAGTGGACATATTCGGTTCTAATTTGAGAAATATGACCTAAAATTGAACAAAACATCTTTTCAAATTCTCGAATATTCAGCTAAAATTTTAATTTTAATTAACAAATATTTTATTTAAATTAAAAAAATTTAATTTTAATTAACAAATTTAAAATTTTATTCCAAATTTATTAATTGATTTAATTCAAATTTAGTATTTAAATGCTGAACCTAATAAATTTAATTTATAAATAAATTCATAAATTTAGATTTGAATTTAAACTTAATTAATTATTTAAATAAAATTATTTTAATTGAAAATAATTTCAATAATGAATTTTTTAATTTAAATAATTTTAAATTCCAAATTGTTTTCAAATTGTTTTAAATAATCCACTAAGAAAAATCCGCAAGTTTTTACTGCAAATCCATTCGTCGATCTAATTATTTGATTAAATATTCAGATCGAATTTCGCCATAATCAACATATATTTCCGCGATATGTCATATAATGAATATAGCCAAGTGCAAGGAACGACATTGACACAAATGCTCAGTTAGTATTTGATTTTTTATTCAATTAGATGATTTTCTTGTTTGGCTGATTAAAGAAGAAATCAGTGATTGCCACTTAATCAGTGATAATCTCTTAAACAAATTAAATAAATTTTTCTTTTTCTTTAGGCGATATCGGTGGAAATATGGGTCTTTTTCTTGGTATGAGCTTTATTTCTTGTGCTGAACTTATTATATATTTATTTAAAATTACATGGATTATGATATCTAAAAAGAGGCGGCAATATATGGTTTTGAAAAAGGAGAAAGAATTGGTAAGATTTTCTACTAGAGAAATTGAATTTTATAAAATTTTACCTGCAGTTAATGAAATTTAATAATTTCTTAGGCTTTATAAATTTTTTCCCCCAATATCCCCAAACCGAATTCCGAGCAACAAGGCTTAATCATTTATGAAAGATGTCAGATCCGGAGATTTCTGCTACATACTTCAGCATTTCAAACATCATCAAATATATCTGAGACTGGAGACCTAAGAACCAAAGTTTCTCACCATGCAAAATAATCATTCTAGACATTGATTTGGCCCAATTCTAATTCATTTTTAAGAGCGTTAAATCCGATTTTCATTGTCCCTTATCCTGAAATTTATATTATATTAAACATATTTACAAAAATTAAGGAACGAGAACGTCAACTTCAAGAAACAATTGAAGCAGCCAATAGAAAACAAGAATCGTTCCGCAAACAATCTGCAGCACAAGCAATTCGAAAATTCGGATCACATCTCAACAGTTTCAGGAAAAAAAAATTACGAAGAGCACTTACTTTTTATAAAGATGTATTGTTATTTTTCCTTGCCTGTCTTTTCCTAAGTTTGTTGCTTTGGCTTATTCATTTTATCATATCAAAGTCATGCCATGAAGTCACTGGGCGATAAAAATATAGATCAGTTCATTCTGATTTCGTTGGGAGTGAAGCCCAATAATTCCGGTGTTCCGAAATGATGATGAGAACTAATGAACCATTCTATTCACCTGGCTATTTTAGAATTTGTTTGAATTTTCTTTTTTTCGTTTATATCTGATTAAATACGATGAAAAACACCGCCATTCTAAATACTTCACCATAATTTTTTGAACGTTTTTAATTCGATGGTTGAAAACCAGTAATAATTGCAGAATGCGGATGAAACCGAATCGATTCGAGAAAGGCGAAAAACGCAATTTTTTGACTCCTATATCGACAATAAACTCTACAATTATGGAGTTGCTGAAGAATTTAACTATGGTTTTGAGGATAAAAAGCCCAAAAGAAGCCAAGAAGTGGTAATTTTTTATTTATATTTTTTCAAGCATATAATAGTAGAACTACACAAAAAAATTAGCAACACAAATTTTTGGTGAGAGCACGGCGATTCCCACTTTCAATATCTAACTTTATAAAATCACTTCGGGAATCCGCTTCCCTGAGTTTTCTCTATAGATTTAATAGATTTCCTGCAAAGTGGGATTTCTCAACAATATTATAAGCTCTGAGGCCAGCGTTCTCTCAATGATTATCTCACTGCGAACGTTCGAACTTGCCTAATTAATAAACCTTTTATTTATTACTTTATATCAAGACAGAACAAATCCTACAACATTGTCAAATCCTACAACATTGGTGCGGCATGTCACACCCCTGAATGGCAAATCTTTGCGAGATGGATGAGGCCCTCAGTAGCACTACGTAAGAATAACGATGACAACGATGAAGAGTTCCCTACCCAATGCTTTCCCGAATACCAACCCATTCTCCACATCTCTGTCTCACTTCCATCCTCCCTGTCCCCACAACAAACCCCAAAATGGCCGAAAATGATCTCTTGAAAACTTATATTTGATTTGAGATCGCCAGAAAGATTTATGGTCTTTAATTTTCTCAAAATAAATATATTAATTTATATATAAATAAATATATAAATATTATTCATATATTATCCATATATTCTCCTCATTTACTCTACTATTCATATATTCATATATTATCCATATATTATTATTCATATATTCTCCTCATTTACTCTACTATTATTCCGTGATATTTTGTAATATCTCCAATTCTTTTCCCTTTTATTTTCCTAGTGTTCTCATCTCACTAGCAAAGAGATGCGTAGCAGGAGTGCGATGCGGATGACCTGCTTATATTTGCAACTATTTTCGCCATTCGGCGAGAACTCTATCCAGAAATTGCCAGTAATTTAGGTGTTTTTTTCATTTTTTCAACTCTTAATGTTATACCTTTCAAATGTCGTTTTAGAAACAAAAAGTAAGTGGAATGAGAAATTTTTACCAAATCCTAATATTATCCGCTTTTTTGACAATTTACTTCCACCAGTAGAGAGGGTCGAATCAAGTTTACATTCGCTTATGATGCCTAGTTTTAGTATAACTACAAAATTACAATAGTAAAATATTACTTTGAACGAAAGTTAAAATATTTCAGTTAGAACTTAAAATCGATCTCAATGAACTATGCAGAAATCGAAGTTACACAACGATAACTCCAATAAGAAATGTTCATGTATCTCATCCAAATGTGGTACGACGAACTAAAACAGTTTTCTCACCAAAAAATACTCAATTCGATGATTTCCCGGTTCTCAATCATTTAAAGAAAAAGTATCGAACAAATTCAGCAATAGCTTGCGTTACAGTTCGTAAACCAAGCAATGATAATAATAATAATAATCCAAATTGAAATGCATGTGAATTTTCAAACAATTATGATTCTGATTTTTTTAATCAATCAATTCCCGAGGGGATAAAGAGGAAAATGTGGGAAAAATATTCAAATATGCCGCTAAATAAGGCGTTCATTCATAATCCTTCTACGATTCCTTCTACGAATTCAAAATTCACTTCAAACTTCATTTACAAATATTATTGCTGCAAAGGATGCTTATATGCTTTACAATGTGAATAAACGAAGAAGTCCATGGCCGGATAAATGCCGGAATTTCTCACCATCACTATTTCCTAGTTGAACAGTTTTGATCAGTCAAGTTCAAAATTATTTGAAACCGTAAATTTCTATTTTGGCCACTAATGCATCGTTAATATTTTATATTTATAGTTTATTAAATTTATAAATTTACAAAAAAAAACATGCGCCCGCAAAAAAGAATTCAAAGAAACGGACCAACAGGAAATTATAGCATCGAAATCAGCAACAAAAATAAATCATAGATATTAGGAGACCATTATTTAATTTGCAAAAAAAACCTTTTAATATAAATAAAATTATAACAACCATTATTTGCATTACTCAAAGAATATCATTTGTGTGATCAAATAAAATCTTACCTATTACAAGCGGTAATTTCACTAAAAGAAGAGCCATTTCCAATAATAATATGAAATAATATGGAAAATAAAAATAGCATGAAAGCAGAAAAATAGTATAAATTAACAGAACAGGATAAATTCACAAAACACGTAGACTGAATCGGATATCGAAGTAATACGAAGGTCTCTGAAAATTGAAGCTTAGACCAACTGATTCCCAGAAATGGTATGCGCAAATCAAAAACAACCATTTCACTGGTTTAGTAAATCCCAAGCATCATCATCCCAATCTCTCTTCTTGCATTTCGCTGCCACTGTATTTGTTTTTGACGCTTTATTGTATGCTGTGTCCTCATTAGATGTTGAACTATTATCAATGTCCAAGTCGATTAGGGGCGATTTAAGCTGAAAAAAGGGGGCTAATGAAAAAAGAAACAAAAATTTCGAATAAGAAAATGAAAATTTAAACCAATAAAAATCAATAAAACGCAATACATCCTTCTTATCTGCTTTCGCTTTCGAAATTTTTTTACTTGACATAGGCTTTACAGATTCTTCACTTTGGTTGCCAGCTGCAAAAGTAAAATTATTCAAATAATTTTGTAATTTGCAACCTTCAAATTAAGAACAATTAATTAATCAGATGCTTCTAAATTTAAAAAAAAATAAACCTGTGAGAAAACTATTATCAGCTGCAACAAACGATCCTTCAATATAACTTCTGAAAATTAATTAATATGGAGCTCCAAAAAAATGCAAATATTACAAAAATACAATTATAAATTTTGGCTACCTTCTAATATCACCACCTTTATTGATACATTTACTATTTACTCACTAATAAATACTCACTGGCTATCGTATCCTTGATAAACAGTTGATCCAATAGATAGGCCTTCTTGAGAAGTGGGACTCGCCAAATCTTCATAATCACTTAAAAATTATAAATTAGAGTTTGTTACTAGAGAAGAAAAATTTGAAGTTTACTTAGAAATTTAGAAGTTTAGAAATTTGCAATAAAAAGAAAATTTTAAACGTTTTGCCGAAAGGAAGACCAAAGCCCGGCAGAGAAGGACTTTTCACGAAACTTGAGAGACCATTCCACGATCTTGAACCAATTTCTGTTGCCTTACTCGCTATATTCCCAAGATTTGCATTATTCAATAAAGGGACATCACGGATCTGGAAAAAAATTCTGGATTTGAAAGCATTTATAAGTATGTTATCTTGAAAAGTCGAAAAAAAATTTTTTTGACTCTTTAATCGCAATTTTTGTAATTTTAAAAAAAAGATTGAAAAATTGAAATTAACAGAAAGAAAAAAACCTTTTCTGAAAAAGTTCCTCCTAATTCTGATGCTTTAGCAGTTGCTTGAACGCCAAAATCCTTGGCATATCCTGCAGCATTTACAGCTCCTTTACTTATAATATTCCAACCCTAAAAACAAAGAAATATATAAAATATATGAAATAAATACAAATAAATGCCACTTCAACAAGAGTAATTTTTTAAATCTAAAATTAAATGAAATCGAGTGGCCTCTATTATTCAATGTGGTGAACCATTGCTATTGGCGGCCTCAACTACCTATGATGACCCCAAAGAGTCGGATGAAAATATCACAGATGAATATTTTGTTCAAAAATATGAGTTTCAGCTTTCAAGAAACTTTAAGGAAAATGAGAAAATCAATACAAATTTCAACAAATTTCCTCCCTAATTAACAAATACAAATGAATAATTTAACAAAATGTATAAATGCATATATATGCAAAATCAACTGTAATAGAAAAATTATCAATAATAAATATAAAGGCCATATATATAAATTATAATATCCATACGATAAAAAACTTTCGATAATGAACACGAATAAAATACTTGAACAACAGCGTTATATCATAAAGAAATCGCTACACTAGCCAGAGAGGAATACTTTTGGAACTCAGTTAGAAGGAGATTATTCGACCCCGATAGAAGAAAGGCACTTACGCCTATTGAAACAAAAACAATGACAATAGAATGACCAACTTAGCAATAAATTAATTTTTCCTATCTGTGCAAGATAGGAAACGTTATCTGAAAATCATAAACATTTAAAGAGAAGGAAAACAATCGCAAAACTCTATAGAAAACTGTTTTTTTTAGAAAAATAAATTCACTGCTAAAATGAGTTAGTTCAGTGACAATAGACTAATATTAATTAAAATAAAAATGGGAAGAATCCATCATAATATCAAAATGAATGCTTAGAATAATAATTATATTTTAGCACTTTTAGTTAAAATAATTAAAGTGAACCACGAAAATTTATGGATTGCTATTAACGGAATTTTTTGTCTCTTAAAATCATGTTTAATTCATTTTATTACAGTTTCAATAGTTTTGAATTTCCTTTTTTTCTTGTTTATTACTTTTCATAATAAAACTTTTTGATTTTTGGTGTTTCTGACTTTTTTTTGGTATAATTGTTCTACATGAAATGAAATATCTTCATTTAACAAAAGCACAACATAAAATCGAATCTACCTATGCTTCCAATTTAAATTAATTATCAACTAAAAAGTTACATATCGAAAAATCAGCCGCATAGGACGCGATGGATCACCACATTTATTATTAAGAATTATTAAGAATTTTTAAGAATTTTATTAAGAATTTTTTAAAAAAAACCATCGATAATGAAGACACTGCACCGGACAATAGCTCAGTTGATTGATTGCTATTTTTCTCAATTACATTACCAAATCCCTGATAACGATTATTCCTGAAAACATATACAATCTATATTCGTAAATTCAAACAAAAAACTTGAATTTAATCAATAATAAAATGATTGTCGTTGCATCTAAATTTTCAAAAGATATTTTGCACTTACATTTCCGAATATCGATTATCATCATTATAGTTTTCAACATTCGTGCCAGGCCTTAAATTACCACCGTAAAAGGTAGAAAGACTGTTACTGCTTCCAGTGCGGATTGAACTGCCATTTCCTCCAAGAAAAGAAGGCGAATAATTTTTCGCTGATGAAGTCTCCACAGACCATTCCCGATTCTCAGATTTCGTCAATATCTAAAATTTTATCGATGTTGAACAAATATCAATTAAACAAAAAAATTATTAAATAAATAAAGTAAAAGTTAAGTATAAATAATAAATAAAAAATAAGTTTATTACTATAAACTGCAACAAAACAATAAATTCACTGGTGGAAAAATGATTAAATTCAACCTTGTCACGAAGTAATGCTGCTGCTCTTGAATTGTATTTTTCTTGTAGAGACCAGTCCGGTCGATAATCGGGTTGACTCTCGAAAAACTGTTTGGCTACCTTATTGCCACCTACTTTCATTTTGTTTAATTCATTCTCTTTCCATTTGTCCATTGTGACTGATCGAACAAAACTATAATACTATCAAAATATACGCAATATTCTCTATAAAGAAAAATTTTTTAGTTATCACACCAAATACAATGCAAAGAAACCAAAGAAACTCCGAAAAAATTAATCGACAGCAGCAATTGCGAAATTCGTTTAAGCCATTCATATAAAACTGGAAAAAAATATAGGAAAACTGAAAACTGAAATTTATTAAAGAAGTACCTAACATGAACACCCAGACCACGATGTAACCCCGAACAATCTAAACACAACCAAATACCATAGGTAACACTAGCCCATTGTGGATTGCTTGCACCACATTCGAAACAACACTAAAACAAAGCTGTCTTAAAACTAGTCAAAATTAAGTAAAAATCATTTTAATTTTGTAATTTTTAATAATTTAATGCTTTATTTTAAATTTTTTCTAAATTTAAACACAAAAAAATAAACAATATCAAATTGAATAAATGTGAAAAAAATATTAGAAAAATAAAAATAATTTTATATTTTTCAACAAAATTTTATAAAATAAAATATAAAAAAATATAATATAATATAAAAATATATAATATAAAAATATAATATAATATAAAAATAACAACATAAAAGAACAAAAAATGAAAATCTTTTGGAAATCTTTTTAATAAATCAATGAAAAAAAAATCATTTTTCCTTCTTCTCTATTCTAATAGAGATATTAATAATTGAAAAAAATTAACATACGTTATTTCCGTTAATCATTCTGAGATCTCTTATAAGACGACGCGTCCTCGGACTAGCCATTTTGTTTCTATTATGGATCTAAAAACTAATTATTTAAATAATTCTGAAGAAATTATGTTAGTACTACTACTACTTCACTACTTAATTACTGCTTTGAGATAAAAGGACCTATCGAATGCGATAGGAGACTTATCACTGGAAAATTCAGGAAATACTAGAAGACCTATCGGCTTGTACTGCAAAAATATGGAGTACAATAAAATTATGAAGCATGATAGATGCATTTCGATGCATCTACTAAGAGCGAACCGATTTGCTTTCCAATCCTATCATTGCTGTTTGAAGCGAATAAAAAGAAATCTTTAAATTATGAGAACCGAAAATAGGTAAAACTATTATTGAAAATTTATTAGTAAAAATTTCTCGGACATTGAAAAGTAATGAAATAAAAAAACAACTGTAAAAAAATTACATCTAATTTCTCGAACGATTCATATTTGAGAAAAAATCTGCGATGAAAGACAAATGATAAAGGGTTAATACGTGAGACGATAAAATTTAGCGAAAAAATTCCAGCTGTACTGAATAATAAAAAAAAAGAGTTTAAATTCTGGAACAGATAAAAATTTCGAAAAAATAAATCTCGAAATATAAAATTTATAAGTGATAATTTTCTATTAGATGATTCGAACCAAATGGTACTCTCAAAAAAAAAGTTTCATTCTACTTGTAAAATAAATTTCAACCAAACTAGAAATGGTGAATACCGAAGCAAAAAATATTTTGTCGATAGACATAATCTTCACTCTCCATAGGAATAAATGTGTCTTTCCGGATGATTCTGGCAAAGAAACGAACGGGAAACCATAATTTTCAGGAGAATTATTGTTTTTCAATCATTCAATAATTCAGTAAAAGGAAAAATTTTAAAAAAAATTCCAATAAATTTCGATTGTATGGACAAAAACTAAAAAAAACTCGCGCTTTTTTCTTCCTTCTATAGTTGCACGCTATCTCCTCTCTCATTGTCGTAATACTTGCTCTATATGGATTTACTTCGCAAACTTAACTTTTGTCTTCCTATAACTGCCTACAGGTACCACACCTTCACGGCTCTTCTCTCCCCCCTCTCACCCCCAGCCCCCTCACCTTATTTCCACTAAATATCGATGTTTAACCAAGTATTCAATTACAGTATTCGTAAAATCTCTTTAAGACCCAACTACGTTCGCATAGCTTGAAATCAAACTTATTAAGCTTCGTCATTTTCCTCCACAGCTGGATAATTTTGTTCCTCCAGATGGTTGCAGCGTTATTGGTTCCATCACTGGCTCCGCTGGCGACAATAATAACATTCGGTGTAACATTTCAAAGTTACAGAAAACTCTCGCTCTACTATCGTCTTCTTCTAACAGTGTTGGCTTCGTTGGCTGCAGTAGTATGACGTTTCCAAGCTTCGCTGTCTGGTGCAATCGTCGACAGTAATAAGCCACATAGGTTCGAATTTGTGCAGTTCGTATCCAGTTCAGATCTTGATTAGGTCCTTACTTTTTACCGTATTTATCGTAGGGACTTGCGAGATACATATCAGTTAGAAGTGCGATCGTCTGGAACTCTATTCCACGTGGCAAGTACCATGGATGTAATTCGAAAATTTGCTAAAAAGTCCTAATTGTTGCAATGAATGATTGTTGAAATGCGTTTGCAAATTCTCAAATTTTGGGAGATATTTTTATTTGCTGAAGTTATCTAATGAAATTAAGAAAAACCTTTTGCGGGTATTCATAGGGGATATGGTAAATGAAGCACATATAGCATGGAAGAGATTTTGAAAGTTAGCGTTGTTCTAGTATTGTTATACGCATCTAGAAATAGATCACTCGACAATAACCATAGACTTCCTCGTGTCGAAATTGCGTTTCAGAAATTAGCATCAATCTTTGAGTTGTAAGGATATCAGACAATTTTCTGTAATGTACTAGGTCTATTTTCTTTGTTACGGATGAAAATAATTCTCAAAAAAGAGTGATTTTTTTCAGTGGCAAAGAAGAACATATCATCATATCAGTACTCAAGATACCTGTTATTTCCCTATCTCTCGTAAGTAATTCCATGCAATAATATATGAGAGGCCAAACTTTTAGGTAAATTTCAACATAAGGTTTTGCACATTCTGCAGTTAATTTCTCGAGATGAAGTTCAGTAGGAATTGGGGTCTCGGAGAACCCGAAGGCCTTAAAAGTTCGCATCTCCGAATCATCTGAAATCCTCGAATCACTCTTTTATCATTCTTTTCGCTTTAGTTTGCATATTGAGATTCACCTTATAATGTCTCGTAAATTTCAATTAAAGTGATTATGCCTTGAAATTGTAAATTTAACTTTACGTAACAAATTAGGAGATATAAATCAAAAGGAGATGCTGAAAAAGCAAAATGATCAACTGATTATTCCTGTCAACATGAGAAAAAAAGATATTTTACAGAATTTTCAGTTTTTAATTCTGTATGACAATCCGTATCCGTAGCATATTGTGGAGAGCTGTTCGTAAATGCTTTTTTAACCAGTTAGTGTGGATGTATATAATTCTGATAGTAACTGGTTTCTGCTCCAGGAAGGCAGCCACTCTACGTTGGTGATATAAATTTTCTTTTTTCACCCATATTCTATATTGTAGCTATTATCCAAGTCCTATTCTTAATCTTTACATCTCCTTTCTGTCGTTCTCTGAGCTATGTTGTGCTCTGAATCCCCATTCTCATTTTCCAGGAGCAGCATCACATCTGTGCATTCCCTTTATATTTTCTTATTTCTCAGTTGGTTTAAAGAATATAGGCCTTTCCAGCCACACTTCCTTTATACTTTTCATTTATATTAGGTCCTTTCTTCCTATTCGCAGCACTCCCCATTATTGGTTGACTGACTCCGCTACAAAGCAAGACGTCTGTAAGCTCGTTCCGACAACATCGCTGATAATCGCTAATAGAAACCATACCTTTTTCCATTGTCTAACTCCATATATGGATGATCCCCTAAATGTTCAAAATTTTTCCTGACTGTTCCAATCGAGGTCTTGATTGGCCCATCTCGTTTTTGACGCCAATCATCACAGGGCTCGACAAATAGCCAAATATACGTCAATTCCTGTAGTGTACGACGGCGAATGTGCCCTGACCAACGATGGCGATGCTATAAAATTATAAAATTATGAATTATAAAATTATAAAATTATATCTGTTATAAAATTATTAATACAAGTATTATTTAAACGAAGATGGATACAATAATGTGCGATTTTATCCGCTCTGCGGATCTGTAAAATATATCTTAGACATGATTGATCAAAACCTGATAGATTCTTAATATCTTCCATTCTTATTGGCCATGTTTCGCAGCAATATAGCAAATTACATCGAACGAATTATATCTATATGGACTCGGATTTTCGTCTTTATGATAATTTCGCGATGGTTCCATAAAAGTTTTATCAACTGGAAAAACACATTTCTGGCTGTCATTATTCTTTGCCTGGCTATTTGGGATTAGAGTGGATTCAAGATATTGAAAGTCGGCAATGAATTGATAAAAATAAGTGTTTCATATTGTATATAAGACGAAAACATTTTCGTTTTATTTATTGATTTTGAGTCCAGTTCTCGTTGCAGTTGTTGACTCATTGCTTAACATTATTGGCAATTCCTTATATCTATCAACAAAGTATCAGTGTATTCAAGGTCTTGATGCTATATTCTGGACTGATTTGCACACCTCTTGAGTGGTGTGATGCCTATTATCCAATCATAGTTGAATATTGTCGATGAAAGGTCGCAGCCCTCATCAGTTTTTATTTCAAAGAAGTCTATCAGTTCCCCACCTAGATCTGTGCCAGGATATACTGATAAAATACCTTATGAGCCGAATTTTCTTCTCTCAGACACCGTCACATTGTATCACTTTCCACAGCGCTGTTCTATCAATCGAATAGAAAGCAGCTGCAAAGTCGATAAAGCATGTGACGAGGAATAGCTGGTATTTGAAGCGATATTCTTCTTGGCATAAATATCTGGTCAGCACAACCGCATCCTGATCTCAGTCCAACTTGTTTAGGAGGCAATCTGCTATCTCGTGTTGCCATGAGCCTATTTAGCAGAAAAGAAATGAAAATTTTTTCGGAGCTGACCGGTAGGCTGATTCCTCCGCAATTGTCGCAGTATGTCCTATCGCTCTTCTTAGATATTGGAAGTAGAATCGCCTTGCTTCATCGTCTTCTGGTATTATTTATTTTTGCCATACCAGAGAATACTTTTGTTGAAAGTGAATTATGAACAATGATGAATAATATTTGGAATGTCCGGACCATGTTTCGGGGGTTTATTAGCCTTAAGTTCGTGGATTGCAAAGATTATTTGCTTTCCTATTGGCGATCCGCAGTTGCAAAGGTATGGTTCGACAGGCGAATCAATTATATCGAGATAACAGATTGCGCATCGTGGTTAAGTTTGGTCTCAAAAAATTCTTTCCATGTTATGTGGCTATCTTTAATAGCCTTAAATCTAGGCGTCTCATTAATATCTCCTGCCATTCCACTGGCCTCTTTTCTAAATGCTTTGTAAAGAGGGCGAAATAGTTTCCTATCTGAGCCACTGAATCTCCATTCTCAAGCCCATATCGCTCCAATAGCAATTTCTGTCCCGCCGTGCTACTGTTTTTGTAATTCTTCGATAATTAGGATCTCCTAATATTCGGGCCTTGGCAGCTTTTTCAGACAATTAGACAGTTGTTTCCACACTTGACCAGCTTACTTCCTAGTAGAAGACCCCGGTGTAGAAGAAATCTATCGGAGATGATTATACCCATTTTAATTCAAATACCATTTCTATTAATAATGTTATCACAAAGCGTCACCTTCGCTAATTAGATCGTATTCTTTGTCGCTCACCGCAAAAATTGGCGTATTTTGTTACTTGTTAAACTTTTATGGGCCAATCAAGACCTGGACCGATACTGTTTAGAAAGACTTTGAACTTATGGAAAGACCAGCGGCATATAAACGGTGGAAAA